TCTCTGCCACATGGGAGATTTTGGATGTGGAAATGGAGGATGGACACCGGTCATGAAGATTGACGGCACTAAGGTAAGATTCTTGTTGATTTAGCTGATAGACAGGCCTCATAACCAGCAGGGAAGTCTGTTCATGTGGAAAAATGCGCCACCATACTAATGAGGTACGCATCTAAATAATTTCCAACAATCAAGAAATGTTTACCTGAATCGGGCAAGGAAATTGGATAGATGCAAATTTAGAAATGCCGGAATATTTCTTGACGATATAGTCACCCATGCCGGTGGCTTTGGATAAGCTCACGCTCGTGAGTTGAAATTGCTCGCGTTTAGCTTATAGAAACAAATGATTGTCATCCAGTTGTCACTGTCTGTTTTAATACCATTGATTTGATTTAGAGCCCAAAACGGGCTAAGCTTGGGTGAAAGATCGTTACATGAAATTGAACTGCATTTACAGCTATGAAATTATTTTGATTTAAAAGGGCACCTTTCATTACAACAGCACGTACTGGAGCAATAAAATTGAATACAACCTCCCCGGAGGGGAGTCTGGGTTTGATTCACGGGAGACAAAGTTATCGACTTACTGGAACACATCCTTCTCCAAGATCTGCCTCGGTATGAAGATCGGACAACAGCTCAGGTTCACTGTCATTAACAAGCAGGCCGACTCTCTGTACTCACTGATCGCTGACGGTCAATACCGTGCCATCTCACTTGGTCGAGAAACGTGGAAAAACCTGATTGGTTCAATTGCCTCCTTACAGTTAAATTGTAACAGGGAAGGTTTCAATACTGTTGATGTTAACCGTATTGATGTTTACCATTCTGAAGCAAGAATTGGCATCGTTGCTAACCAGGAGAATGATTGTAAGACCTGTGACTCAAGGATAGGGTTCGGTACAGGGGGATATTTTGAAGACACCGTAGCGTGTGGTAACGTGGCATATGTAAAAGGAGATAATGGAGACAGGCGCACTCCGGGCATGGGGTACATCCTAGTGCAGTAACACGTAACACCGATACTCTCAAAAGGAAGCAGCTCCTATGAATAGATAATTTATATAGTAGTATCTTCCCACGGGGCTCTTCAGCCGCTATTTACATGCAACTAAAAGAGGACATAGTACAATAGAATTGCAGATTAAGAAGAGACTGTCTCTTTAATGTTCAAAACCTTTGACCGAGAAACAAGCTTTTAAATTGTTCTTAAGGCTGATCCAGATGTTACCAGGCCGTAAATAAACTTTCGTTAACCAGCAGCCATGTTAAACAGTGATATTTGTAAGGTTTCAAGCTTCAGCGAGTAACAAGGCGATGGATGATAGATCTTTTGCGAAATTCTCGCAGATATTTATAATATATATATGTAAGCAAGGTTGTTTATTCACTTATATTCCAAAACAGATTGTCCGAGGTATAGGGGGAGGCGAGGCGAGGGACTCGATGAATAAAAACCACTCACTTCCCGAGCCAGTTCTTTTGTCATTGATCATTGACCTGGGTCGCCATATAGTTCTTCAAAATCCGTCGTTCTCCATCCCAAACACTCGCCTATTACAGGAAAGTGCATCAATAAAGTCAACTGCTCTCGATCGAATTGACTGCTACAGAGTTCGAAACGTCCAAATATCCTGTAAAATTGCCATTTCCTCCCATCAAAAAAGTTCTCAACGCGCCAGAATATCCCTTATTTTCCATGTTGAGTAAGTGACGAGACGCCATGTTGAAAACTATGACTGAAATAGTTAAACACGAGCAACGCTGATCTTCGAATCGTCGGCCATATTTGTTTATGTTCTTGCAGGGAAATAAATTAGTTCTCGGTCCTTTTCGGAATAAAAATATGCCAGGCATTGAATGCAAATTCAGTAGTCTTAGCGCGAAAATTAAATTAAAGCAAATCAAAATTCTGACATCATGTCATCGCTCTGCCTCGAAAAATCCCAAAGATTTACTTGCAGGTCTTCTTTTCTTTTTCTTTTCATCAAATAGAAGATCTGCGGTACTCAAATTGTATAAGTCATGGTACGAAACACTCTTCTTTGCAGATCGAGCCGTGATCGCCAGCATATTGAATTCTCTTGATATTCTATTGTTCCGGAGTGTAATAAGATATACCGCTGATAATTGTTAGCGGGCTCGAAATGTCCTTGATTTCTGGCGATGGCTATAATAGGAGTTTGGCACAGGAGAGGCTATTGCCGAGTGCAACACGTTTGGTAACGAGGCCAGCTGTAGTCCATATCAAGGAAACAGTAAAATCAAAGCCATGGGATACATCTTGATACAATGAAGAAGAACTTTCGACAGTGAGTGAAACCAATAATAAAATGTTACTTTGGTAAAAGGGGATGTCCAAGGCTTGCATAGTCGCCGAAATCCTAATTGAAAGCTAAAAATCTGCTGTTTCTACCTAATATCACTTTAAAAGTTAAGATAACAAACATGTAGCTCCGCTGTATTCGAATGGTCAGGTTTATCGCAAAATTCTGTGCAAAATATTGAAATGAGAAGGATTGATTATGCTTTGAAGAGTAAATGTATTTACATTACATCACAATTCAATAAAATGGATTACCTTACCCAAGTTGTATTCTTCGTTGTCCTCAGTATTACATAATTCTCAACGAGAGGTCAACTGATGAGTCCAAGATGAAAGTCCAGGCTAGATTTATATCTGACTACCTCTTATTATTACTCCTGAAAAAAACTTGCTGCTAAAAACTAAATCTCTTCCTTAAATACAGCTCTTCGAGTCTGTTCACTACATTTCCTGTTTTCTGATGAAGCCCTCGTCTGAGCTTTTTTCTACTTTACCTCGTTAGCCAATTCAAATCTTTGATGATTCCAAGATCCAGATCTCCAGGCGCTGGTCATCATTTTCTTTCTTGAGGTTAGTTTTATCCTTCACAGATGGTGACTAGTTCAGAACGAATTAGTTTTTTATTACTAGTTTTTAGCTGTACCCTCACACATGCTGTCGGACGTTTCCATCTACTGTAAAGGCCGTAACTTTGAAACGAAAGTCAAATAGGGAAAAACCTTCTTACGATATAAACTGTGGTGTTTAACAAGGAAGTCCAGCTCTGAAAATAGAAACACCTGTCACGATACCCTAACTGTCTACCCGATTTTTTAGCAGCCATCAAAATTGGCTACAACTTAATGACGAACCCCTGTTAATCAACCACGATAAAAGCAGATCTGTTGGCCATACCCAACAGGCAAAACAAAGATAGAAGTTCTTCCGTTTTAGTAGTAAGCCAAAATTTTTGTTGTTGAGCAATAACAAGTTTGAAATTTTTATGGTAACAGGACTGAGTGGAGTCCAATTCGGTCATACGAGTGATAACAATATCGGACGTCTGCGCAGCGGGAGACCGATTTGTTTATCAGGCGTATGATTACAGACCGGTCTTACCACAAATTAATCATAAAAATTACCATTTCCGAGAAAAGAAGACAAGTCAAGTCATGAAAGAATGGGAAAATTTGCATCAAAAGACTGAGAAAGGGGGCGTAAATTGTTAGATGGTTGTGATTGGTTGATTTAAACTACAACTTCGAATGTGATTGGTTGATTTAAACTACAACTTTTAATGTGTGATAAAATATGTGGTTATTGTTCATCTTGGTGTAAGATAGGAGACGAACTTTATGCGTTTATCTCACGACGGAGTCACTTCGGATGTTGATCGCGACGTTTCGACTGCAGTACTGCTAGTCTTCCTCGGGCGATGAGATCGATTGTTTACGTGTCGCTATTTGTAGCACTGTGGTTCATTGCTATTGGTGTAACCAATCCCAATCGAGGAAATTGTCATTTTTATGATTAAACTTGTTGAAGAGCCAACGATTGACCCTTAAGGTGATTCCTCAGAAAGAAAAAAAAATTGAACAATTCTTTTTTAAACTTTAAAGAATATCGTATTTTTTCTCGTCTGTTTGATATCGCAAATCAGCTACGGACACGTCACTCGCCTCTCCCGCCTCTCGGTCAGGCTGACGAATGAACGGTAGAGCATTCGCCATTCACAATTCAAGGTCATTTCTCGGAATTTTTCCTTTGGAATATGGCCGCTAAAACACTGAAAAATCCGTAACGCTCGCAGAGAGTGACGTTTAAACTTTCCTAGAAGGGGAAGAAAACCAAAATATGGAAAGTAAAACCGATAGTTACGTATTCGTTGGCTTTGGTAATGGCACTTCTCAAGGCTGAGAACGAAAATGGACAACTGGTAGATATGCCACAGGCCGATTTTGGCCGTGTACCTGAGAGAGTTCTTCTATCGGTAAGGACTAAGTCAATAATTGAGAATTTTGTATATTGAAAATTACGCCCATTGTTTGTTTTATATTGTTTCAACGCATTTTTCCATCTTGAGCCTTAGCGCCAATGCACCTTGCGATTCTCTTCTCGTGTTCAACTCGGAGAGATATTCCATATCTAGGCGCGCCCATGTATTCACTATATATCAATATTAGCTCGGAAGCAAACTTTTTTCGTTAACCTCTGAAGTAGTGACATGTAGAAAGTTTTCATCAAGATACTGTCGTTAATCGACTACATTTTAATGTTCTTCTTCACAGAGGGAAACGGGAGGTCTGCTCTGTGACTATTTCGCATTTTATCCATTTGAGATCAGCTGAACAAACAAGATGAAGCTTCCTCTTCAACTGTGTTAAAGCTGTTTGTCTTCTGACTTAATTGACTGGCTACAGGTTTCTTGCCGCTGTAAATTGGTGAGAACTTAATTACGTTGTTGAACGCATTCACCTGATATAGATTCGCGCCAAATCTCTCATAAGTTCACTTCGATTTGAATAAACTGAATCAAGAGCAACACACGTGCCTCTGACCGGTTAAGTATTTCAATATACATCCGGCACGATTACGATAAGTCCTGATACAGGCTTACGGTTAGAGGGATGTCTGCATCAAACTTTTTCTTGACACCAACACTAACATCATGGTAGTAGTTAAATGAGTTTATTCAACCGTTGCTCTTGGAATAAATGAACTATACTCTCAGACATGATCAGATCCCCTCCTTTTTGTACTCAGTATTTCGGCGGCAAACAAGGAATTGGCCCTGCAAATGTCCCAACTTAAGTGTCTGGGATTTTAAATAGAATGTACTCCAACTTAGTTAGTTTAAAACCTTTTAAGAATAATCCGAAGCGTCATTAGAACCTGCATCTTTAGCGACATGATTTAGGCAGTAATAATTCTAAATCTTCTCAGCGATGAATTGTTTTCCTTCATAACTTGGTTTTGAGTAACACGATCCGTAACTCCAAGACATGACTCATGTAAAATGTAACTTTTTCTTACAATGTAAAAACATGATTAGAAAAACGACGAGATTAGAAGAGACTAATGTAAAATCTTGAAGGAGTTTTCATGGTACAACAACAACAAACTACTGTAGCACTAAATATGCCGAGGGGTAGATAAGAATCGGGTTTTAGGAGTTGAAAGGTCATTTCAGCTCAATTACTTTAACTAAGATGGCTCTCTTGTTCTTCTTTATAACTACGGCATAAAACTGCTTTCGATATCATGTTTTTTTAGATAGTTGTCTATGGCACCCACGAGCAAGCCCTGTAACTTCCTCGACTCAAGACGACAGTCGTCTGTATGTAACTATCACTGTGCGTTCATCTGTTATTCGTCGGAGAAGTACTCGTCTTGGGATCCGTCGTCGGATTCTTGATCTGATGCAGGATGTACTTCAAACAAGTCTAACCCGGCTATTACAGGGAAATTGCTTCTTTTTAACTGTTTATTGGGAGTAGATGTCCTTATCAGCTGTCAAGAAAAAAAAGAGGAATCTTGCTCACCTCTACAAACAAATATTCTGTTCTGTTTTATTTATTTATTTTTTGTTTTTTTTGTTTGTTTGTTTTTTTCTTTTTGCAATTGTAACCGTACACGTAAACCGGCTTGAACTGAAAGGTATCCAAGCTAGATCCCGATGGAATCCAGCGTGATCGGGGAGGGATAAAGTTACATAAATTTTCGATTTGGAGCTGTAAATTGCACCTTTGACTTCTGTTTTCCAGATGCTTGTGTCCCTCGCTTTCCTTGCTGCATTCTGTAAATGTAGTGATCCATGTCTTTCCTACAACAAATCGAAGCACATATACATTTAACAACACCGTCGCGAGTGAGATTAAAGGTTGCTAAATTCTACTGTCTTCTACTAACAGCTAGGAGGATATATCATATCCAGATAACAACCTCCAGCTGATGAGTGTATCTCTTCTCATCATATCTTTGCTAGACAACTTATTGACACTGCGAAGGGAAGCTACTCGTTTATCACCTCTAGGAGTTACAAGATTAACAATTCCCTGCCTTTCTACAGTCATGATCAACGTGAGGAACAAGGCAAGGTAAAAAGTTAGGAAAGAACCTCGCAAAAGCCGTCTGTTTAAAGCGTAAGCATTTAATTTGTCAATTAGATTTTAATGTCTAAAGAAAATGTTTTGCTTTCAAGTTCCCAAATGCCTAATCAAATACAGAAGTTTTGCCACTATTTGATTAAGGCAGCTTTAATCGATGAACTTCGAGTTCTCATTGGCTCTTCGTGATCTTAACCATTTCTCTGATTTACTGTTATGATTCCATTGGATTTGGTTTGGGGTATGTGAACCGAAAAGTTCTTCATTTTCATAGTCAACTACAAGATGCACCAAAAGAAGTGTCATAATTTTGACCTGTTGACTTGCTGCAAGAGACTGGGACTGACATACTCTGCTCCAGGAGTGGACGATATCGACAAAGGACCCAAAGGGCGGAACCGGCTACTGGGTGTGCGACTACTGGGTGTCACATATGAGGTACTATGCTCTGTGTCACTCGCATCATCACCATCATTGTTTTCTTCATCGCTGCCATTAGAGCTCAGATTGAACGGGAGCTGACGAGAGACATGATACACAATACAGTTAATAAAAATTGTGGTGAAAGAAATCTTACTGAACTGTGGATGCAAATAATGGTTGAGTAGTCCACGGCGTACGTAAGGCGTACCTTCAGATCTTTCTTTCTTTTAAATGGAGTTGAGTCAAAGATATCATCCTCGTAGTCTACATCCTGTTGCTCAAGTAACTCTCGAAGCTCTCGCTTTCGCTTGATGGTGCCCACTCCACCGGTGACTGTCTTCACATTCTGGTGGGAGGCGGCTAACCCTACAGCAAAACAATTAAAGAAATAAGGAGAAGAAAAATTAAATACACTTTTTCGCGAGACAGTACTTTCAGCAGTTCATGTCTAATATTCTCAAGACACACACACAAAAAAAATAAAAAATGGATTCGTCTGCCCAAGAAACACCGAGGTAAAATTTTCCGCTTTCCCGCTATCTTACAATAACTGACGATGATTAAGGATGAAGATTAATGATGACATCGCAATTAATTCGCCTTGCTCCCAACATAAGGGAAATTTTTGGTATTCGAGAATCCAGAATAAAATTTCGAGGCTGAGTTTCAAGCTACGATCTTCGATTTCATGGAATCGAGTTAAGATTATTCCTGAAATTTTGAATGACTATCTAAAGCCCTCGATAATTTCAAATACGGCCTCGAATGTCGCGAAACTCGACCAGAGAATCGATGCTTAAATATTTCGGAAATTGAGTATCGAGATTCTAGTTACCTTTGGACAGTAAAACATTAAATATGGCATTTCATTGGTGCTATTGCAACAATCATATTGTTCTACCCTTACCTTTCTGCCCTGGATCCTTCGTCTTTGCTGAGCCTTTTTTAGCTGCTGGATTATTCTTTTTGGAGACGAGAACCTGCCCCTGGTGATGGGACTGACACTCCTGTGCAGTCCGTGTTCCTACTTTCCTGGAGATCTTTTGCCAAAACATAGGTGTGTTACCAGGTATGGAGTGCAGCGCTCTGAGTAAAACATTAGAGGAACCATTACGAAAATAGAAAAAAAAGAGGTGTAACCAAGCTTTGGAAGCAATTTTCAGTCGAGTATCGAAAATAATCCGCGATTACATTTATTTTGCATTATAACTAGATTTAACACTGAACCAATCACGACTTAATCACTTGCGAATTCCCGCGCATCAGCTAGTTTGCTTATTTTTACTTTGAATTCTCATTGGCTCCTTTGACTATTTTCCTTGGTTCTGATTGGCTATTGTGACAAGCATGGTTTTGGTTATAAGACACTCAGTAAGAAAGTGCCCTTGACGATTTGGTAATGGTGTTCAAGCAATGAGGCAGTTATGTATCTTCCCCCAAAAGGATTACCACTAACTTTTGGTGGGTGAATGCTAAAGAGTTGTACCATCTTTAGCTTACGTTAAACAAACTTTGGATCCTAAAAATATTAAATAAGCTAGAGGTTACATGTATATTTAAACTTTTAGTTTTTCTGTCACATACTCATTAAGCTTTTTGATCTCTTCATCGGTCCAAGAAGCTTCATCAAACAGTTCATCATTTCCCCTTCTGCTGTCTTTGTTTGCTGTCTGTCTGGAAACTTTCAATGTTTGCTCCTTGAATGAAACCGTTTCACTCTCAGATTGGGGTTTTTCTTTTCTTTTGGAGCCAGTTTCAACACTATTGTCTTTGTTCGATGTACCAATCAGCTTTTTGAGTTCTACATCAGTTGAAGGAGTTTCATCGGACAGTTCAATGCTTCTCCTTTTGAGGTTTTTGTTTGCTGCCTGTCTGGAAATTACCAATGCTTGCTTCTTGCCAAAAACCTGTTCGATATCAGATTGAGTTTTTCCTTTTCTTTTGGAGCCAGTTTCCACCCTTTTGTCGTTCTCCAATTTGCCTTTCATCGTTTGGATCTCTTCATCGTTCAACGGTGTTTCATCAGGCAGTTCATTACTTCTCCTTCTGCTGTCTTTGTTTGCTGTCTGACGGGAAACTTTCAATACCTTTTTCTTGCCTGAAACCTTTTCACTACCAGATTGAGTTTTTCCTTTTCTTTTGAAGCCAGTTTCAACTTTTTTGTCTTTCTCCGATGTAGAGAGAGTTTCTGTCTTTGCTTTACGGGATATTGAACTTCTCAGACGAACCTCCTCTTTCTCTGGTTGCTTTTGGGAAGCTCGGTCATTTTCTTCCTCTGAAGATTGGGTGCTTGTCTCTCTAACAAACTTTTCAAATCTTTTATGCATCAGTCGTTTCCCGCCGTTTTTATTATTCGAATTCGCATTGACTATTCTTCCTTTCTTTGTAGCATTATCTGATCTCTCCTCGGAAGAGGACACTATTACTTCACTCTCTGAAGTCTTCAAGTTCGTAATATTTGAAGCGTTTTTCTTCGGGTTCCTCTTCGGGTAAGTGTCTCTCTGGGAATCCTCGGAATCAGCATCAGACAACTTGTAAGAGTTTGCATTTGTTGTCAAGTCACTGGCTGTGCTTCTCTGAGATCTTAAAACACGCTTAAATGGTGAAGGAGTCTTCTGACTCTCGCTGCCTGTTGGTAACTTTTCATTATTGCTCTTCTTCTTGCCCTTTTGATTGTTTCGATCCACACTCGCAAGCGCATTTTTAGTCGTGTTTTTCTTTGGCGTCATGACTGGGGCTTGAAGTACATCTCCACCGAGCATTTCATGCTCTCGAACTGACGGCTTACTCGTTCTATCCTTACGTTCTGAACCATCAAGTGCACTATTTGCGTCACTACGTTCTTGACTTCCATTCTTACTTGCGTTCAACGACTTCCGTTGAGGTAACTTTTGGGGGCTAGTATTCTCTAGAGTTTGATTTTTGTGAGCTGTTTTCTTTGGCGAGAAGCACAAAGGCCTTTTTAAATTCTCATTACTATCGCTCTCAGTGCTGCTGCTAGACTTGTTTTTATTCTGTGTTGTTTTTCCTTTCCTTCTTCTTCTTGGCAATGTATCACTGTTTTCACTTCCAGAAACAGCCTGCCCTTTCTCCTTCTTCTACAAAGCAATGAAAATTAAAACAGATTGTACTCTGTTTCTATCAACCCTTGGAGATCTTCCCCTTGCGCCCAAAAACCTATAGTAGGTAGTAAAAACAGCGAGCAAAATTGTCACATTTGCAGTAATCACAGCAAAATGCTCAAAACAAATACTAACTCTGGCCGGTGTAATGAATAGAGTAAATAAACGACCAAAATAATGATCCCTCACACGAATTTTTCCTATCTCGTTTACCTCCCTTAACTTTGGATTACATTTCATGTTTAAACGTAAAGAAAAAGGATTACCGTGATGGGAATTTTAATGCTGATTTTGTACATGGAAGAAAGGGGAGTACGTTCCTTTAACCCTGGATCAATGCCCTCAAAGTTATGATGTCCATCAGTCAAGATACGTTGTCCTCGCCACCAAGCTAAAGGTGGCTTTACCATACGTCCACTCCTTGTTGTCTGTGAAAAATTAAAAACATTTTTTAAATGACTGCGGTAAAAAATCAAATTGAGCAAAGGGATAAACCCTCAGACAACCCCAGTGGCACTCAGTAGTTGAGTCAGCTGGAGATTCCTTGCATGAGCTGGCATGGGAGATGGCTCCAAAGCGGATTGGATGAGCCAGTGCGTAAGTAAGGACGTTCATGGTTGCAAGGTTGAACAGATCAGGAATCTGTAAGAACTCAGTGCGTGTATGACTGAGAGAGGATCGTAAGCTCTGGAGTGTGCTGGAGATCCATCTGTATTGCAAAGTTCAGTCAAATATGACAACTTCTCCACAAACCATATGATTTACCGCCTGAACTGCGGTGTTTTACGTGGATTTCCAGCCCTGAAAAAAGCCGTAACTGCAATACGTGTCAAATAACGATAATTCTTACGTGTGTTTGGTATCGCCAATCAGCTGCCGACACACCACTCGCCCTTCGCGCCATTTTGACGGGTTGATAAATGAATGGCATGGCGTTCATCATTAGTCAATTAATAGAGTCAAATTTTTCTTGTCAGTAAAGGCCTATGGTGTTTATGTCATAGAAAAAATTATTCCTTGTAGCTTTTAGATATAGAACTTCTCGTCAAGTGTTAAACTCGATACTCACTCGTTCGCTGCATACACTCGTGAGATATTGAGTTGAACACTTGACGAGAAGTCCCATATCTACGCGCGCCCACGTGATATTCTCCATGTAAAGTAATCAAAACTCATAGCGTTGATTTTCATTAACTGCCCTTCAGAATCTATAAAGGTAGAAGAGAAGCAATCTCAGATTTGTACACGTGTACAGTATATTCAGTACTACATTTACGTACCTTCATTTCCACCTCTTGTGGAAGTGGTTTGTTCTCTGGGGTCTCCAATGCTACAAAATAAAGGAATAACGTTATATAATTGTAAATGTTTAATTCTTTTTAAGGGCCTCTAAGCCCTTTCAAGTGTCAGATGGCGTAATGCACCTTGAATGTACAGTATATCTACAACTAAGTTTAAAAAATCACGGCACTTTTTGCGTTTAGTCAGAATACCTGAGGCTGTGTTCCTCCTTTTAGCTCCGGTTTCAGCTGGAGTCGTTACAGAAGAATGATTTGCCTCTTTTAAGTCTTCTCTCTTCTTCTTGTTGTCAAGATGCTTTTGAGTTTGCTTCTCCTCCTCCTCACTTGCACTGATTAAATGGGTAACAATGAAAACGTTATTATCCTTGATATTTTTTTCTCGCTTGCCGCACTTTTTAGACTAGATAAGGTAAATGAAATCACATAACAAATATACAAACTACTCTATAGTTAAGAAATTCAGAAAATGAAAATAAGAAAACAACCGAGTCGTTTGAACGGATTAACTGCACTCTTTAATCTTCCATTCCAGTTTAACAATATTTTTAGACCGTGGTGTGGTCAAACACTATTTAAACCCATTTTGCTTTCACAACAAACCCATTACAATTCTTGCCTGTAGTATTCAACTGTCAATTTTCCAAAGTGAACGTCCTTCACCTTTCATAGAAAATCAGAGACTTTTCAGAATCTGATCTCTATATGCATATTCCGGATAATTCTTTTTAAGTCTAAAATAGTTCCAGGTACTGTAGTTCTACTTTTCCTTTCCTTTTCCTTTGACTTCAATATTCTGACAATAGACGCAAACATTCAATAATAACTTTTTGCCAGTTGTAATTCTGACATACCAAATGGGTGATTTGAGTCTCAGAAAGAAGTATTTGGAAAGACTTAACCCTGAGTGACTAGCATTTAATTTCTCCTCACAATATCAGCCCTGAACCAAACATTAAGGTTACGAAAATAAAGGAAATAATTGGCCACTAAAGAAGCTATTGATACCGACCTACAAACCCAAAGGAAATGTTCAGAGAAGAGTATAGAAAATACATGGATACTGATGTTTGGGTTAAGAAGGTTAAATTGAATCACTCACAAACCTGCTTTGAGAGTTGAAGTAGTCAGCCACAAGAGAAATCCAGTTGGAAGGAAAGCCTCGTTTAAATGCTTTGACAAAGTCAGGTGGGAATCCTGCCAAAAAAAAATATAATGATAATCAGCCACCTTGCCTCATGTTAACAAATCACAAAGCTGAAGCTTTTTAGCATGTTTCTTTTTTTTTTTTTTCTTCTAGTAGAGGTGCACATACACTGTAACACATAATTATAATTTCACAACTAGCCAGAGATGTGTTTAATTCAGTCCAGGAAGAGAAACAAAAAAAATGAAGGGAAAAAAACAGATGAACCAAAAAACTTAGCTGTCGATTTTTGCGTTCAAAGAATGAGTGCAAATTGGCTCTGAATTCTCATCTTAGATTTACTTCAGGCCATTTGAAAGTTTGACAAGTTAAAAAACCAGACCTTTAAAAAAAATATCTCAAAATTGGAAAGAAATCAAAAAGGATATAAAGTACATGTACATGCCATATGTATCTTCCAGTAAAAAAAAGGTCCTAATTTAGGACACAATAAAAAAGTCATTCTACTAGAAAATATGGTACATTGTATCCATTTAAAAACAAACGATTGGTAACACAACATACATGTACACAGACAAACTGACCTGCTAAGAATAAAACAAGACACTGATTGAAGTCTTGCCCAGAAACAGGACTAAGTTAATTTATGTGCAAATTGAACTTGATCTAGGTTACAATTATAAAATTATACAGTCGCAGCACTATCATCCTGACTCATGAAGCTGAATAGTCAGGATATTTGAGAGTCCACATAGTCGGAAATATGAATATTATTGAACTGAATACAGATCATATAAATCTTTGTGCATCATTGTTTGCATTTGCCAAAAGTATTTTCAAAAAGTTATAACATGTATTAAGCTCAACAACAAGGTTTTAAAACCCGAAATGATGACCTACACTGTAGATCATGTGTGTGTATCACTAATTCTATTATTCTGTGAAGCTCACATTGTTTCATTAAATGTACTTTGTTTGATGGGGACCAGTTGTTATGGATCTCAAATATGGGACCAGAGAGTTGAGGCTGGATAATCAAAATTTGGATAATCAAAATTTGGATAATCCGAAGGGTCAGACAACACAAGTTCAACTGTACAAAAAGTGCTGTGACATGGCCCAGATTGTTTTTGATTGAAAAATTGGCAATCAGACAGAGAGAAAAAACAACAACAACAGGAAGAAGACAACAATTACCTTGTTGAAGGGTGACTCGTTCATTAATGGGTCCAAGCAGCTTGTATTGAGATCCACTCTTAGTCTGTACACATCTTGCATTAACTCTTTCTACAATCGCTGTACTATGCCACCACTCACCCACTGGATCCTCACTGTAAATGAAATATAACACTGTTGCTCTTGTTTCACAACAAATATTACTACAGTGGCTGGTTCCACATAATAAGCTAAATTAAACATGCATTTTAATCAGTACTTTCCAGTATGATCTACTGGAGGTCAGACACAGATGATGTCACCATTACCAAAACTCTGCTTTTTATTACTTAAAACAAATTGATTCCCAGTTGCCATGGGTTTGTACAGTTACAATGGGTGAGAAAGTCAGTGACATCTCATTTTGGCAGTGCCTTTTCACAAAATTATGTCTTATTTTAGTTTTTGCCCTATCAGCATGAGACTGTGCTCGCAAGTAAGTATAGGTTTTGCAGATCATGTTTTCTTTCAAGCTTACAAATCCCTCAAACCACATAACCATATTGTACATTAATGAGTCAGATTAAAACTGATTATACAGATATGCAGTTAAAACTTTATCTACACCTTGAGTGCCACAATTTTGGAATACAGGGTATCTTAACCACAAATCTTAATACACTGTTTTTCTCTACCTTCCATGAATAATACATGTAAATCAAACTGATTGTACATTCAAACAACTCAAATGAAAAGTGTAAGAGATACCACTTAGAAAATTTACTACATGAAAAAATTCATATCCACAATTTTACAGCAATCTGTAATCTTTGCTACATGTACAACTGCATGCTTAATGGTGAATTAAGTTTGTGAATAGACATTCTAACCTTCTCTGTCCTTCCACAATGATTCCCATGTGTGTCTGAGTCTTCAAAGCTTTTATGGACCATGTGTTAAGAATGTTAATCTTTGTTGACCTCTGTGCAGTCTACAATGTACATGCATACAGAGACAATAATCTCAAGGATGACATTTATCCAAAAACGTTTACAACATTTATCCTCTAAGAGTGACCAGCATCTAATTTCTCTTTACAACATCACCCCTGAATCACAAATGAAGGTTATGGGAATAAAGGAAACGATCACTGATTAAAGAACTCTTGGTTGTTAGACAAACTCCCCTTGTCAGCACCTTAGGAAATGTATGGGGAACAGCATGGAGAATATGCATACTGATATTAAGGTTCTAAAGGTAAAAGTTGAATCTACCAGACCACCACACAAAAGGATGCAAAGGACATACACACTCAAGAAACATTACCTTGTGATTGGTTATAGTGGTAGAATAACAATAATTATACTACAAGCAAAAAATGCCAACACTAAGAAAAGCACAAAGATCTCGCTTAAAGTTTGGACAACTTGGGCTGAAGAAAGAAGGATTCAGTCAGGATAGTGTGAGATAAGAATCCAAGCCACTAGATGTGAAGCTGGAGAAGTTTTTCACCAAGATGAGAAAGAAGGACGATTTGGACTATAAGCCAGACAGTTTGCAGGTAATACTAGAGTCACTTGCAAGTGACAGTGTTTCCGTTACTAAGGACAGAGAATTTGTTAACAGCAGCAAAGTACATAAAGGGAAAGCTCCCTTCCATCATGAGGGCTGCAACAAATGTCCCCATGCATCACTGGCACTAACCAATGAAGGTGAAGAAATGTTGTGGTCCAAAGGGCTCCTTAGAGGGCCAGTTATGGAATTCTCTGATAGCAACTATGTGGTTTCTTTTGATGCAGCATTTTGAATTACAAGGCTGCCAGGAACACCACTGCATGTTTTTGGAAGATTTCTCATTCACTCAAGACAACAATGGTGTCAAGTAAGTGTATGTCATATACAGAGAAAACTCATTTAATTTGATTTGTACATGTAGTATAAACAAAATATATGGTTTCTTCAGGGTATTTGCACTGTAGGATAAACATCAGCTCATGATATTTCAAAACTCCCCAAATATCACTTGCTACCAGAAACATAATATTTTCTCTACTAATCAAGGAAGACATACATGACTTGTATGTGCATGAACAGTAACACTAGGGAAATAATTATAGAACATGAATATTTTTACCTTGTCTGATGAGGAACCATCAGACCCCTCTTGGTATAATCTCCTTCTCTCTGCTTTTTCTTGGCTTTTAGCACCTTTCTTTCTTCTTCCACGAACAATCTCTGCAAAATTTAGTTTAAATTCAGAGATTCCTTAAAAATTTAACAGACAGAAAAAGAAAAGTTTTGGCCCAATCTTGCATGAAAAGCCTGCTATTATTAGCAATTCATTAAATGTTCTTTGAAATTATTTTTTTAAAACTTTTTTCAATAATTTATTTTAAAAGATAATTTGATAAATTAACTTCTGGCCTTCCTCTATGAGACCATCTTCCTTTTCAGAAAAGACATTTAAAACATTGAAGAAAAATGTTGATCATGTACTGTGATTGTCAAGGTAAAGGTACATTTGTAGTATTAAACAAGCACTCTAACGCATGACAGTGACTGATGTTTTGATGATTACAGATGTCAAATCCATCATCAGGGCCAAGTGTGATGGTGGTAACTTCCAATAAGGTTATCAAAATGCCAGGCCCTGCCAACAAAAGCAATCTTTACCCAGACAGACCGTGCCCAGGTGATCACATCACAGGATCAAATGCACTGCAGCACTTGCGTTCAAAAAATTAACCGAACAAAAGAAAGAGTACAGTACTACCTTCAGGTGTCCCAGGAATGATCTCATCCACTACAGAATAATAAGTGTCACTTGAAATATCTCCTTTGTCCTTGACCCCATTTTCTGCTGGTACATGCATACCTGATAGCCCTGAATTTGACACTGTAGCATTGTTGAATGTCTTTTCTGAACTTTTCTTTCTCACATTTTTGTGTTCATCCCTTGCACCTTCTGAATCTTTCATCACAACATCTATTTCATCATCGCTATTAGTTTCAAAAGAGATGTGAATCTCTTCTCCCCTATCAACAGTTTGAGTTCTTGCCACATTATCAACATCTCTTGTGTCCCTTTGACATGACCTTCCTTGCTGTGAGGTGATTCTACTCCTCTTGCTCATAACATCTGTAAATACTGCTTGGCCACTTACACCAGAATCACTAGGCTGTTCATTAAATTGAGAATACCTATTCTGTAAGGTATGTTCAGCACTGGAATCCTCTTCTAGTCTGCTGATAGCCATGTTTACCTTGTCTCTAATTGCTGAGTCATTCACAGATGTCTGGAATGGACTATTAACAAACTCCTTATCACTGAGCAAATCAAGGAAAGACTTTGATCTTCCAGGTGTAACTAAATGATCAGATGAATGCAAATGGCTGCTGGAGCTATGGGAGTACTTATTGTGGAAAAAACTGGCCATATTAACCACCTTATCAAAACCAGGAATACTTCGGAATGTTTTTGACTTTTGAGGAGTTGGATTCTCAACAGCCCTAAGTTCTGACAAAGCTGACTTTTGTGGTGTTGGCCTTGGTACTGGATTATTCAAAGCTGCATATATTTCCTGTGATAAAAATGCAAAGATTTAATATAATTAAGAGAGATAGAGTGTATTATATCTTGGTGAAAAAAGGCAAAAAAAAGACTTTTGTTCTGGAGTAATGCAGGAGCTCATCATGACCCCCTTAGTATGAAAAAAGTAGGAGTATTATTACTCTTCTCCTTGAATGGGGTATTACATGTAGTTCATTGTTCTTCCCCCCCCTCCCTACCTCACCATCAAGTAAGGTTCGCTTGAGTGTTTCCCTTAATCCATGATCCCACACAGAGAGACACCATGATAGACAACTATAGTGTCTAATCTAAGTCAGGCATATAATGTACATCTCGAATGACCTGCTAAAGCTTCCACCAACACATCCCCTCCTGCAATCCAACCCACTGACCATTATGCCAACATATTACCCTCACACCTACTGTTAAATTTAAAAATGACTTAGTTGATCATGAAAATAATGATGATGATGATGATGATGATAATGATAATGATGGTGACAGCTCTCAAGACAGACGGGAAAATCAAACACTTTTCAGTGTAAGTTGCATTGACAGGGTTGTGTGATTCACATTATCCCTTTTGTTTGAAAATTTAAAGCCAAAGAAAACTCTGAATCACAAATAATTTTTGACCTTACACATATTTGTAGTTGATCATCTGTTTGTGAATTAACAGCATCTTTAATTAGCATTAGATGTTAGGTTTATTAAAGCTCAAGGAGACTCATGATAGCATTCTTAAAATCATGTCTAGAGGTGTAGTGCAGTATTATAATCAGTATGGGTAACAACATGATTTTGAGTGCAATCTGGTGTTAATAAGCACAAGTAACTTTTTTCAAAGACAACAAAATTGCACAAGCCCATGAAAAAATTTGAAAAATTTACAAGTGCTTATTAACTCCAAATTGCACTTGAAATCATGTTTTACTTGTTAATAATTTACATGAAAAACACATCTGAGAAAATCAAGATGGAAAAAGTTTTGGTGGCATGCTTGCTATTTGTACTTTGCATTCATCTTACAACTTTCCACTCTCGTTACATGGAAAATGCACTCGCTTTCAGCCAATCAGACGCGCGTAATTTTTTCATGTATCTTATTAAGCGCCTAATGAGATGCATGCACGCATTTAATCGACCCTACCACAAAAGTTAATTCTAATGATGTTTTCAAGATACAGGAGTAGTTGCAAATTTACCAGCTTCAACAAAAAACTCTTCTCAGAAATCAAACGACGATCGAGAGATCGAGACAAATCATCTGTTAATTGTTATAAAGGCGCGGGGCTACATGCATTTTGATTGATGATGTTTTGATGTCAAAACATAGTTACTGGTCAAAACTGTTTGAGGTAGAGACACCAGAAGCATGCAATCATGTAACGGTTATTGAGCGCTTCAGTTCGTCGGTGGCAGACGCTCGTTACAGTACCTTAGCTCGAGGACTTGAGAGGAAGAGTTGTTCGAATCGACTGTGGACGCGAGGAAGGCCCTTATCGGAACAGGATGCTGCTTCATCCGTATCAGACGGATTTTCTCGACTAGCATTGCTTCCTGTAGGAATTTTCTGCGGTGTAGACAACTTGAAACGTTCCATATTACAACTTTTCCTTGTTTTAGATCAGCCCATGGCGAAAAGACTCCCAAAAGTTAAGGAAAAACTTTCGAGTAAAAACCGCGCCAAAGTGTATTAAATTTGGCTCAATATAAGTTTGGTCAGCGGGTATAATTCTTCAGGAAATACTTTTTCCTGTATGATCACCCAAACGTATCTGTCAGTGCTAAAGTTGTTCGACGTCGAGGATGGGGGATATGATGTCTGGGTATCTTAAACCAAGTGCTAAACGAAAGACACAGTCTCCTGAAACACCAGGTATTATTTCAATCATTTCCGGTGTGTCATTTTAGTTTCATACAGCGTATTGATCAGTTTTTATATACTTTTTGTGGCCATCCATGGCTAGGGGTTCGGATCAGATACTCAGGTATTCAAGTTTTCGGGAACCGCGTTTTCTGTACTCTGGTATAGGGTACCTTTTAGGCATATATCTTGTCACAATATGGATATGAATTATCTCGTTTTTTATGCAGTTTTGCTCTATGGTGTAAAGGCCTAAGTCTGTATCTATGTATATGATAATTAAGAGTAGGTATCTTTAGTCAAAGTTTTAACTATTTTGACAAGGGTACTGTACTTTCTCATGCCTCATGAGGAAAAAGTCAGGTCGAGAAGTTTCTCTCCACCTCCATCCCCACTTCCCTGGCCAGGTCCGGGAAGTCCATGAAATATCATCCTGTATGTTCAGTTAAAATCACTCGATCATAACCTTCAGGGCAGTTGCATTCTTTGAAGAACCAGGAAAAGCAGAACCGGCACAATTCCGATTCAGTGAGATGCCAATGCAGCAGATTAAAATGCTTAGGCTTACAGTATTGCCGAGTTCGTACTCACAAAACCGTGCAGTGTGTAAAAGGCACAGTCTCCTGTATACACCATATACTACAATTTGAGTGACACTTTATATTGAATTGTTCACTTTCTCAGACATTACTTTGTCACATAATAGCATACAATAATACCTGCCTAATATACAGGAGTATTTGTGATAATCAACAAAACATCTTTCTCAGACATTACTTTGTCGCATAATAGCATACAATAATACCTGCCTAATATACAGGAGTATTTGTGATAATCAACAAAACATCCTTGAACTGATTTGAAAAAATGTACAGTATTAAAGGCATGTAATGTATCAGTGGATTGGAAAATCCAACATTAGGGGGACATGCACAGTTTGTATTCATCTCTCACCATCAGGGTCATGCTAAATTACCTCTATACGCATATCAGTCAATCAGTTGGCTGGCTAGCTAGATAATAAATTGTTAATGAATGAGGTTTTTGTGATATCCAGAATAATCAAGGTCAAGGTAGGGGTTATACTGATCAACCTAGACTCACTGATAAATAAAGGTTAACTTGTTTAATATTTTTATGGGTTTGCTTTTTTCTTTGCCTTGCCTGGAATGCCACTGAAAAAAATCTGAACAATGACTTGTTATGAGCATAATAATTGTTGAGTGCAAAGCCATAATCAAAAAATCTGAATCAAAATGGAGAGTGAATCATCCAATTGTTTTTGTAATAATTTACAAGTCTTTCAAAACTCAATAACATCAGACAGGATGGTGTTTTTTTTTTTGGTTTTGTTTACAACCACACAGTGTTAGGTACATGTACCTCCTTTACTCTCAATCAATCATGGAATAGGTAGCAAGAAGTTTAACCCATCAGATAATGTGGCATTCCAGATAGAATGCTTTTAGATTTGTACTAATGAAGAATTTTGTTATATGTGTGGTTAGTTACTTCTGTCTGCCATTTTAAACTTTTAATCTCTTTTTCTATTTGTCTTCTCTTAATCATCACCAAACAAGGTAGATTAAGAAAATGAATAAAAGTTAGGGACTTACCCTGTGCATACATATCCTTTAGATGCAGAGGCTGAAGAAGGTGAAGAGAAGGCACCTTACAGTAAATATGATGCTCTTTCCTTGAATGATAAGCGAAAACTTTACAAGTGTGGTAAAGACTTTGTCACTTTGGACAAGATCCAATCCTGGTCAGAATCCATATCTGGAAAGCAAGGTAGTTAAATTCATTGGGTTACAATCTATGAACCCTCTACACCTTACATCAGTATATGCAGATTCTCTATTCTGATCTATATACATTTCCCTAGATGCCAACAAGGAGAATTTATTTAACAATCAAGAGCTTCTTTAGTTGGTGATCATTTCCTTTATTCTCATGACCTTAATGTTTTATTCAGGGGTGACATTGGAAAGAGAGGTTAGGTTTTAGTTACTCTCAGGGGCCAAAGGTCTGAATTGTCAAAGTCATCATGGTGGTAAACAGTTATAAAAGTGGATTCCCACCTGGTAATTACTTCATTACCAAAAATGTCTCTTTCAAGAACCCCAAAATGTCTTTGGTGAATTTACATTATATACCATATTTGTTCTCAGAAAATAGGCCTGAGGAACAAGCGTTTGAGGTGAACAAAACCCTAAATGAAAAAATTTCACTATGGCAAGGTGATATAACCAAACTAGAGATTGATGCCATCGTAAATGCAGGTAAGGTTATATTATTTTATCATATAAATTATGGTGTTAAACAAGGATTTCCAGCTCTGAGAAAAGCCTTAACATTACACATGAAAAAATATTGTATTTTTTCACTTGTGCTTGATATCATAAATCAGCTGCTGAAAAGTCACTTACCTTTTGTGCCACTCATTCAGGTTGATGAATGTACAGTAAAGCCTTCACTATCCACAAGCCAAGGTTGTTTGTTGGAGTTTTTTTGGATTATGGTTGTTAAAACACTGAAAAATCCATATCACTTACAGATAGTGACATTAAAACTTTTTTAGAGGGGGAAGAAAACCGATATACAGAAATAAAAACTGAAAGTTACATATTCAGTGACTTTGTTAATGGCATTTCTCACAGCTGAGAAAGAAAATCGACAACTGGAAGATTTGCCACAGGCTGATTTCTTCTGTTGGTGAGGACCAATTCAATAACTGAGAATTTTTTATATTGAAAATTACACCCATTGTTTGTTTTTGTATTGTTTCAGCACATTTTTTCATCTTGAGCCTTAGCACAAATGCACTTAATGATTTTTATTCAAGGATTGTCGATTTTCATTCATTAATTAAGTTGACTTATCTTGCAAGTAAAGGGCTATTGTGTTTATATGGTAAACAAAATAATACATGGTTGCCTGTAGATATGAAATTTCACTTCTTGTGTTCAACTCAACATCTCACTCGTTCACTGTGCTCACTTCTGAGCTATCAAGATAAACACTTAAAGAGAAATTCCTTATCTACATGTGCCCATGTACTATTCTCTATATAGAAAACTTTAAAATTCTCCTACTCCAAAGAGTGAAACTACTTCTTTTAGTATTATTGTTGTCACATGAATGATTGTTAGATGAGGCAAAGTCTGTACTCAGTTTCTATTGGCCCACTTCGCTGGAGCTGATCCTAGTTTCCTTGAACCATGAAGCAACAAGGAGTATTACTACTCCCCGTTGGATGGGATGTTAGTCCATTGCAAATTTAACACCCTCCCCCCTCTCCCCTCCCCACCCATTTGTACCTCTGGGTACAAATGGGTAAGAGAGGCACTGTGAGACAAGGTGTCTCACCCAAGAATGCAACACAATGACTCAGCCAGGTTTCCGACTCAGACTTCTCAACCCGGAGTCCAGTGCACTGATCATGAGGCCACTGGGTCTCCTGATTGTTATATCCTTGGTCCATATATGATTTAGTGCTTGTTTCATCATGTAAATATGGTTTTCATACATTATTTTTATGTGCAGTATAGGATACACAATGCAATACTGAGTAATTAGGCTAATGTTACTCTCTTGTAATGTGGGGCATAATTTCATTTTTTTTTTTCTTTTTCAATAGCAAACAACTCTCTTCTTGGTGGAGGTGGAGGTACTTTAAATTAAGATGATTTCTTATCAACAAATGGGTTGCACAATTAACATTTTACAATCCACTACAGATGTACAATTGGATACAGCCATCATCATGATGATGATGAACAGCAACAACCTTTCTTTTAAAAGAAAAAAAAACATAATTTATAAGGAGCAGCCAACAGATTGTCTAGTACATAGGAAGCTCTCACTACCTGCCGCTGCTTAACTCTTTACAACCTAACATAAGTATCCTTAGTCTTGATACTCTTCTCATACATTTATATGAATACATTTGATATACATTAATATCTATGTATACATTTATACATTTTCTATGGCACTGACAAGAAGAAAATTGCATAACAATCAAAGCTTTTAACATTTGGAATCATAATTCCTTTATTCTCATGATCTTAATGAACAATTCAGCAGTGTTACTGTAAGGAGAAATCACATGCTGGTCACTCCTAGGATTCAAAGGGTCAAAGAAAACATTCCACACTGTTTGGGAAGCTAACACTCCTCCCTTGAAGAGTCTTGTCTTTGGGAGAAACAAAGAGTAACAGAGAGTGAGCCTGCATGTAACTTTAATTCAGTCTTCAAAGATGTTTATATTTTAAAATCGTCAACATCTATTCATCACAGTTTTAGGTCGCTACTGACAGGAATTAGTCAAAAAATTGCCTTAACAGTTTTAATAAATGAATTTGTAGAATTATTTCCATGAGAAGACTTATTTGGCCAGCCAGCCTCTGACTTTAGTTAAGTGCCTGAAGTCTAGCCCGAAATTCTACACCCTGTAAGATATGGTGTGTTCATTTGTTTTTCAGTTGATGGCTGTATCCATCGTGCTGCTGGTTCAACTCTTCGAGATGAATGTGCAGGTCTCCATGGCTGCCCTACTGGTGATGCAAAAATCTCATCAGGTTAGTACACTGAGTGTTTCTTAAAGCTTCTTTAGTTACATAGTTTATACTATCCACACAAGTACTGCTCACTACTGTGGCATTACATGCATGTCAGGTGCATGTTATTTCCAGGCATTATGAATTTTTGCAACAAATAAAGAAAAACCATAACAAGAAATAAGCAAAAAATTTTTCTCAGTCACATCCAAGAAGTGGCTAAAAAGGTCCTTTGAGAAACCCCTTGATAATAACTGTGGAGTTTATAACATAAGTTCTTTTTAATGATATAATTATATTCTTGAAGCCAATAAATATTTTTAATTGGATATTGTTGGGTTCAGGCACCCTATTATGAGTGCTGACTGCAACTTCTCCATTGAAATGTTGACATCATAGAAATTTTTAAAAGTCTTGAGTTGCGTTTCAATAATTAAAATTAAATTGAATGGATAGTGGCCCACTTAGTAGTGTCACCACTAAAAGGAATTTATTTGTTTAATATTTCTTTCTGTAACAGGGCATAAGTTGCCAGCAAAGTGTGAGTACCATTCTGTTCATAATAACCCTTCTGTATTAAATACATGTACACTGATTTACTCTTTGCATAACTGCAAAAAAGTAGTGTGCAATAAGACATAGAAAACTGTACATGCCTGCCTTATTGCCATGAATTCAATTGATAATGGTAATTGAACTGAGTGGAGTGCAATTTGGGTGCAAATCATATGCGTGATTTCAAAATCGAATGAACGTGCAGCACAAGTTTGATTTGTAATCACAAGTATGATTTCAGACTTAAATTGCACAACAGGAGGTTCAATTACTACTTTATTACATCCATTTTGAAATCACCCAAATACAGGACTTGGTCAGTTCAAATTGATGCAATACTGAGCTGGTTTGAAATTTAATTCATCCATATTTTGGGAGGAAAAAATAAGAGTTTTGGAAACAAAAGTTGCAAAACTTACCACATGATATTCTTTGTCTTTCATTTTCCTGCAATTTGATCAGTTAATTTAAAATCTGATTGTTTGTTTTGTTTTTAGTGTAGCCTCCTTATTGGCTTGGAAAAAGATGCAATTTTAAGCAAAAAATGGTGCAATTTGCAAATAAATCGCACCAATTAGAGCCAATCAGATCACAGGGACCACCGGTGATTTCAAAATGGGTGTAATAAAGTCAAAATCAAAATAATTATCAAGCTTTTGAGGGTTTTGTTTTAGAAGTTTTTATTCAACAATCCCTTTGACCACAGCATGTCAAGGAACCCAGCAATGAATCCGTCTGCAGAGTGAAGTCTCCGTTTCTTTGACTGATCATTCCTTTGGGGATTGATTGCAGATTATAAATTTTGGGCCTGACCTCTTCAGTGAATACTCTTATTGTCCTTTTTTCCTGAGTATACAATAAAAAAAATATATATTATATGTACTTATGGGGCAACTAATGTAACAAAATCAATTTTTTTCTTCAGACAATTGTCCCAATACTGAAAAAAAAACCAAATGAATTCTCATACTCCAAATAATTTATTACCTCTATGTTTTTATTATTTTCTACAGATGTCATTCATACTGTTGGGCCAATTGGTCAGCGAGAGAACCTTCTAAAAAGCTGTTACAGGAAGTGCTTACAACTTGTAAAAAAACATGAGGTCAAATCAGTGGTAAGGAAATATTCTATTGTACTGTAAATCAATTATTTAGAAATTATTTTATTAAAATGAGTCTGCTAGGTAACCAATCTCATATCCAACAAGCACAAATTGAATAATTGTTTAATTAATTTTTATTAATCTTAACCATTTGGACATGTTCAGCCATTTTTAACTCGTGAATTGCGCGCATGCGCAAGAGCGAGTTGTAGATACGATGTGGGGAATTGCACTCGCTCGCTCGATTGGTCGATTCCTGTAAACTTTTTTTCGATTTTAGGCTTTGAGTGCATTTGATAGTTTTTGGCGAGCAATAAACAAACGAAATGGCGACCTTTGTTGCTAAGAATAGTGGTGGGGTGACAAAGAAGCCAATGATAATCTTAAGATAATTTTTTTTTCGTTTTAGTTTCAACAAGCGGCGCAAAGATTCTCACTGAAATAACTGAACAACCTTCGTTTTTCATAAAATTGTAATTTACAATCCTTGAACTTGAAAACAATCCTAAGATTCATTGAAAATATCACTTACTGCGAAGCGCTCGGAGTTTACAGATGTTCAAAAGCTTTTTCTGTTACGGCGTGAGATTGAGGACAAAATCGATCATTACGTTTCTTATCGTGTGTTTTTCCTGTGAGAAACAACGGAAGATGCCGGCGACTAACGAAATTACAAGTTAACACGAAAATCAAATAACACCTAAACAAACAATTTAAGCTACCGATTTTCAGTGAATTTTTAAAGAACAAATTTCTTTTAAGTATCAAGACAATTTGAAGATTCAAAATACATATTACGTACTAAAATGCGAAAGTTTTACACCACAAAATTGATAAATAGGCCTGAAATGAAATTCTATCTTGTTATTGATTATACGTTGCCTAGCACGTGACTAAAATCTACCCAGGCGGAGATCCAAAATGACGGTGGCAGTCTTGGCTTAGTTATATCACTCAAAACTCATTCCCGTTTGTCTCATTTATAAAGAGGGAATCGTTAATGTTTTCATTAAGAAAGTATTGCCTTGATTTTCTAATATTTCCAATGATAGACAGTAAATTTCACTTTTCACGCACATTTACTTCCAACCTTTTCTTTTGAACCAGAAACAGAAATGATTTACGTTTAAAACACATGACATCATCCACCCTTGTCAAATGCAATAGCATGGTCATTTCAATTGTAATGCCTTCTTATCCCGACGTTACTTTGTTTCTTTGTTACATTAGCGAACACTGAACTACTGCTCGTACTCTAGATATGACAATCAACCACAAAATTCCCTAAATCAGATAACATTAAACATAATCCAAAAAATCATGTGTCAATTCACGAGTTTGCTCACAAAGCACTTTGATTCAGCTCTGCAACGGTTGGCACAATGTATTCCATATAGATAAACAGAGTTGAGTGAACCAATCAGAACACTAGGAATGCCATACTCAGAGTTGAAAATTTAATTACAAACTATATACTTTCCCCCTTTTTTTCTGTTCTACATTAAATACATCTTCTTTTTTTGCTGTTTTTAAGGCATTCTGCTGTATTTCAACTGGTATATATGGTGAGTTGGTCCAAAGTGGTTGTTTTTATGTCATGATATCTTTCAACTTGTAGGATATATATGTTTGTCTATTCACAATATGTCTTTAAGAGAAAGATTTTTGTTTCTTGTATCCAATCAATAAAATAGAGTGCAAACATTTTTTAAAGACATCATAGCAGTTTGACTCAGCCGACCCTCAGAGTAGGTCGGACTGCAAGATTATGCAGGCTTTAGGGACCTGAAAATGTCAGAAGCTTTTTACAGAAAAAATGTTTGTACTATTAATAGTAAAAAATTACGTCAAGAAGAGCTTTGTATTGATCTCCACGCAAAACTGCTTCAGAAAGACATTTTTTTCATCTTTTTAAAAACTGCAAGACAAACTGGTATTACTTCTTTCATATCTTTGTGTAGCGATAAAGCTTCTGTGTTACGAAAGAACTGGTATTCTAGGGGAGGGGTTACTAACCCACAACTCTAACTTGTGATGTGGTTTTCCCTTGCCTAAGTCCCCACTTTGTTGTTCTTTGGATATTTGTTTCACAGTTATCCTTTCAGGTTTAACTCCTGAGCCCGGATCGCATGCAAAATGATTAATTGAAAATTCTTGGTTCTTGTACTACCATGGTTTTTCCGAAAAATGTATTTTTGTAGTTAGTAATTCTCTTTACTGGCTGCCACATAATTCCTCGTTAAGAAGGTAGCAGCATTTGGTCTTACATCAAGTTAATACTCATTATTTTTGATAAGCTTGTCCGTTCTCATAACCTGTTAACAAGCTGGTACATGTATTGCAAGGAGAATTTACTAGCCTGTTTGTAGGCGTACCCTCCCCTCCCCCCCCCCCCAAGGAGTAACGTTTTTTTCTTGGAGGGGGAGGGTACGGCTACACTTAGCCTAAGAAATTACATGTTAACCGCCAGTTTACTGTTCTCCTTATTTACAATTTTTACAGGGTATCCTATCTACGACGCTTCCTGCGTAGCACTAGAAACTGTCCGCACGTGGCTTGAGGAAGACGCTGATGATGGAAAAATAAATGCTGACCTGGTAATTTGGGATAGAGAAAGATGTTTTTCCTCATGTCTCGAGCGTGAAAGAATGCAAAATCGTCCTTGTTGTATTTTTCTTGTTGTATTTACTGGCCGGGTCATTGTCCTGCGGGGGGGTTACCTTGCAATGGTTTGGCATCCCATCTAGGGAAGAGAAGTAATACACCTAATCGCTTCATGCAATGGAAACCAGATGCAGGCATATTGACACTTTCGACGCTGCTGATCTAGCGGTGTGTAGAACGCGTGTCAAATAAGAAAGTTCGTAATAGCCTAGCTCACCACACAGTCTTTATGGCTAAGTAGTAGAACATTGGAGAACGGAATCCGAAGATCTGGAGTTAGATTCCTTAGGGATACTCATAGTTCTTTCCGCTTGGTCCCCACGCAAGGGAAAGAAAATCTTCCTCTTCTTCACGAGTACATAAGTATACCCACTTTTTTCATTACTGACTCCACTTCCCTGTCTGTTTTTCTCTTTCTTATGCTCTTTTCCATTTCATGGACAGTTGAATTTTTTAGAGATACTTTCTTAGTTTTATATGTCGCCCAAAATACATTTTCGAAATAATAAACGATATACAGGTTTATTTTATTTACTTATCAAGATCATTTTTATTCCATCAAATGCAGGTGGATCGAATTATCTTCTGTGTTTTTCTGGCTGGGGACTTGGACGTCTATAAATTCCTTTTGCCAAGATACTTTCCTTTAGAGGTCAAGCATGATCAGATAGGGGACGGCCAGGAGGGGAAAAGTGATGAAAAAGAAATAGGAAAACAAAGTGAGGAATCTTCGCCAGAGGATGAAGATACTGAAAAGATGGAAGGTACAGACGACAAGGAAAGCAAAGACGACAAGGAAAGCAAAGACGACAAGGAAAGCAAAGACGACAAGGAAAGCAAAGACGACAAGGAAAGCAAAGACGACAAGGAAAGCAAAGACGACAAGGAAAGCAAAGACGACAAGGAAAGCAAAGACGACAAGGAAAGCAAAGACGACAAGGAAAGCAAAGACGACAAGGAAAGCAAAGACCACAAGGAAAGCAAAGACCACAAGGAAAGCAAAGACCACAAGGAAAGCAAAGACCACAAGGAAAGCAGAGATCAAGAGAGCGGTGGCGTAGAAGATGTTGCTGAGAAAGGGGTAGGAAACGAAGATGAAAATGAGGAAGAGCTGGCAAGTGGTGGGCTGCAAAGTGACAGCAACGAAGAGAAAGACGGAGAGAAAAAGGAAGATAAAAAAGGTGTGGGCACGATAAGTGAGAAGGTCGAAGAGGGAGCGTTCGAAGAAAATCGTAACACCGAGAAAGAACCCAAAGGTTTGTGGTGACAGTCTTGTTTGCTTTACGCCGCCGTAAAGAGTTTCTAAATTGACGTTACAAACTGGTGAGGGGTTAACGTTCGAAACGTTCGCTTAGACGCCCTCTACAGTGTCAACAATTTACATTATTAACCCAGCTGATAAGACCAGGTGATCTTATGTTACCCCCGACCGACGTACCACCACAGTTTTTCTAGAAACTAATCCCCGTGATTCATTCATTGTTTGTTTTAGTTTAGATGATATCTCTATGTTATCTATCTGTTATCACACTTTGCCAAAAAGACATTTGTCTTACCTTTTCTGTGGAGATAGAGTTAGAAATTTTAAAGTCGCTTTTGCTGTTGCCGTAACGTCATTCGTAAAATCTCTGATACTGTCCAAAAAATGGTAAAATTTATGCTCCGTGTTTACGTTACCCTGGCGTTATACCATCACTGGACTGGTGTTATTGTTGTTCACTACATTGTTTGAGGTGGAAGGGGAAGGCCAGTAAACACATCTTTGCATTGAAAAAGATATCTTCGAGGGGAGGAGGATTTTTGAACGCCATTGTAGAATACGCTACGCCACATTGAAAACTGGTTTGAATATCGCTATCTCTTGTCACAAACTTAGTATTGCCTCTTACACAGATATCTCTATTGACGCGAAGGAACCACAAGAAACTCTGGAATCACAAGATGAGCCTATGAGTGTCGATAGCGAGACGAGGGACCAAAATCGTCCGCCAGATGGTCAGGACTCAGAAACAAAAATGGACGAGGAGCTAACTGAAAGCACCAAAGGACAGGATGGTAAATCCTCGTGTGCGTCCTGTACAATATAAGAAAGAGATAGTGTAGGATGAAAAATAACGTTATAGAGGAAAACGACAAATTTAGAACCTAGATATATGAACATTGTGATTCGTATCAGGGCTCTTTCATACAAGCTGTTCACCAAGTGATCTCTATATTAAGGCTCGAGGTGTAGGTCGATCATTGTCATCTGCTTTGAGGGGAAATTTCTGCCCAGTTATTCGTCATGTAAGAATTTCCTTTAAACGGGCTGTAGTGTTCGGAGGAGAAATTTCATTCTCGTTTACCAAGAAATGCAGGAGGGTTTGGGGTTACTTTCGATGGACTGGCATCCCATCCAGGAGACGGAACAATGTTCTTAGTCACTTTAGACGGAGACAGGATAAGCTGCCGTTGGTTGGACCACTTGTGTGGTGTGCATACTTTAATTGTGACAGGGTAGGCCTAGATACAAAAATCGCGAAAAATGGCTGAAAAATCTAACTGGAAATTTCCCAAAAAAATGCGTATAAATCTTATTTTGTCTTTTCAAATCTCGAAATTTCCTCTAAAAATCCCGATGTATTTCCATTTTTTTTTCAAAAATAATTAGTTAATTTGCATATATTGCGAGATTCCGAGATGTGTGGAAGCTCCTTCAAACTGATTTAAAGTGTTCATTTATTTACTAGACAATAGAAGTGGTTCGTCAGCTTCGTCGCGTTACATATTTCGGTCTCTTTCAAACAAACAATGACGACAAAAAATGTTGACATTTTTGTTTTGAAACAGTGGAAGAAGAACCAAGTAAATATGTTTTTATGCTGTCGATAATTTGTTTTACATTATCGTCTAAAATGCCCTAAAAGTCCAAAACTCCTCAACTTTTCTAAAAATCCCGTTTGACTCTAAAAATCTTAAAAAACAACCGATTTTTGTATCGAGCCCTATAATTGAGCCAGCCCGATTGCGTCCATGAACACAACGCGTTCTTTTAACCCTTTAACTCCCATAAGTGACCAAGACAGAATTTCTCTTTACAATATCAATACAATATCAACTAGATAATCGATGAGAACAAAGAAAAATATCAATTTGGGGATAATTAATTGATCCAATACTAAATTCTCCGAACTAAAATTATAAGAATTGTATGATTGACAGTAAGGAGAATTACAAATTTGAGTTGGGCGTTAAAGAGTTAAGAGATCGACGAGGAAAAGTTTGTGATTTGCAATCTGTTGTCATATTCTCCAACCTTGGCCATCCTTGTTTCTTCTATGCATTATTTCCTCTTATTTAAAAGTCTTATTCGATTTTAAGGTAGCTTTCCTAATCACAAAAAAGGAAATAAAAATAAAAAAGACTTATATCAAGGTGACGTAACTCATGTTATTCTTCTTAAAGTAGTCCTACCTCGCAGCAGGAGAATTTTGTGCATTGGGGGAATTTTCGTGTTTTGTGGGCAGAAATCTTTTTGGCATGCTATATCGCTCAAATTTCTGGTGGGAATTAATCTGACGAAGGGCTAACGCTCGAGACGTCAGCTTTGAAACTCTTAACGGTGGCCAATTTACGTCACCAACTCAGTTGATAACACCAGATTACCTTAGAAGAATTAATTGGGATTACCGCTAGAACAATCGGAACAAATACCTGTCGCCAATTTGGGAATCAGTTCCCTTGTAATCTATAGCAGTTCTTTGGTATCCTATAGAACGCCGTAGGTCCGTTCAACCTCTGGCAGAAGTGCATCCCTTCATTGTTGGTCTCAGCCGATGTTCTGAACATTTTCCGCAAATTATGCGATGCGGAGCATGGGATAATCTCATCCAAATCTAAACAAAAGCTTACAATAACTCGAAAAGAATGATATATTTCGCTATTAACAGGGTAAGTAAAGAACGCTGTCCACTGATTTCAAAGGGCCAAGCCGTACTGCGAAAGCTCTTTTTTAAACGAAGAAAAAAAGTTGCTTTTTGAAACGAATACGGATACGAGTGGACGGAGCCCCAGACCAGCGGAAGGATGTTACTAAAAGCGGGAAAACGTCTGCGCATGTGCCAACGTTGTAATGACAAGAAGGCGTGCTTTCAGGCTGTCAGAACCAAGTTGCCTTAAAAACCACCACACAGGCCACTTGAGCCCTTTTTTTTCCCTAAGTGTACAATGCACAAAACTGAATGATAAATCAACAGGATATCCGTATTTGAATAGCTTTGTGTTCGAAAATTCCTACTTCTATATCCTTTTGCAGATTTCAATGAGCGCGAAAGGAATAATCGATTTATCAAACTAAATTATCCGCAATTCACCGGAAAGCGTTTGTTTCCAGCCAACAGTAAACCCAGCTTTATAGTAACACCTGAGTAAATAATTTTCCATATTAGGTGATTCTGTATATGAGCTTATGACCGGAGCTGAGTGAACCAATCAGAACACTAGAAATGCAAGATCTGGAGTTGGACTATTTTTTGCAGCATATTCAAGAATGACCGTCTAAAATATAGCTGTTTCTCTTATTATTGACGCACTTCCCCTATGGCTGGTATGACGTTTTGTAAAAATTGTTTCCTGTCAGGAGTCTATGCCAGGTCTCGTAGAGAACTAAGTATCTTTAATCACTCTGTAATTGTTCAATCATAAAATTACTTAAATACAAAGTTGAAAGATACAGACGTATTTAGTGGTGCCTGTCCGGTCAAGAAATTTCTTCACCGAATGACAGCATCACTTTCATCGCGTTTATAAACACTCTTCTATAAATGTTTGGCCTTTCTGAATTGTAATTTACATTTGATAGTTAAACAGCCGATATATTGCCTCTTAAAACTGAAGAAACAAAACACGGCCTCGAAAACGTTTAGCGAATAGAGATGATTGAGCACTGACGGAAGAACAATGACGTATTGGTCGATGAATTAAATTCTAAACATATTACATATGTTATCTTTGCGAGACAATTTTCCGTCCAGTTGCTGGTGAAGCTCTACTAGCTCTAAGTTCGTTCACAGTCCTCCACAAGTCTTCCAGGCTTCTGTTAACGTCTCCCATTCCATTCAGATTCTTTAGGCTTTCCTTGAAGAAAGCTAAATCCGACGTGACGAGTCTGCATTAAAAGGAAAATCGTCCTTTAATTCCCAACTGTGACAAACATTTAGATTTTCCTTGCGATCTCAGTATGTTGTCTTGCAAATAGGTTATGGGAACTAACAAACCTGTCAGCCAGAAGGTGATATAAAACCATATTCCCTTGTCTTATGAGGAAATGCATATCAGTCAGTTAGGGAGAATTGCTAAGTGAATCTTGGCGGTTACAGGGTTAAGATCGCTGTAAGGTAATTTATTCCTTAAAGGAGAAAGAAGAGGAAAAATGGGAGTGTTCTTTCATTTGCACAATTTGCAACCAAAACGAGAGGATAAACCCTTTATTTAATCTTTTATCCGTTCACAAAAAGCTGTAGAGGGATCAGAAAAGAACAGGCACTTACTCATTACCTCCCATAACAATCCTCTTGAGGTTTTTCTTCACGCCCTGTTCACGTGCATTAATTTCAGCGGCTCGAATATGTATAACAATCAAGTCCATCTGACATGCGCAAGTTTCTCGACTAGTATTTTTAAGGTCAATCGTTTTTGATTGTGTAAGAGGCCTTATGAAGAACATAAGTGATAACGCGCACGGTTCCCACTCTTTTCTCTTTGTCTTACTGTTAGAATACCTACCCATGCTGTGGACCACCATCATTCGTGACTCCCAACTTGTCCAATTTATGGGCCAAACTTTCCTTGAAAGCTCTTTTGATGTCTCTGAATATGGCCTGGACAACAAAAACAATAACATTCAAACCAAAGGTAACTAACTAGGTTGCATCAAACACCTTGTACACAAGGGTTGCAGATTGACTGTGATTAGCTGGAGAGAACCTGTTGAGACATCTGTCAACAATATCGGAAACTTCGTTACATTCACTTTGTGATGAGCAGATGCGCAGCTCATTTCCTCATATATTTTATGACTCTGTGTGTTAGTCCGACTGTGCTTTCAATAAGACCCAGCACCTGCCGGAGCCCCGGCAGGTATTCTGTTGGGAATCGCCGGGTCAACCGGGTATATCTTGGATACTTTCAAGCAAACTCACGGAGTGAGACCTAAAACACCTCGAGTTCTTTCATTCGACTTTTACCTTTGTAAACGACTTTTGATGAAAATGATTAATATTGTGTTATCATATATTCAAGCATACGTTTCATAGATTTCCAGCAAAAAAACGATCAGTTAAACAATTGTTTTAAAGGAGACTAATACTTAATGATCATCTACGGAAGTAACACCGAAAACTTCTATTGAAGCCAGTTTATTCTGAATGGAAGCAATGGGATATTAGTGGGAAATTGTAATTTATATTATTCTGGCGGGTGCTTTACAAATGTAGCCACCTTCTTCAATTCTTATTGAAAGCACTGGTCCGATCTCGGCCTGGGAACCTTCAAAGGGTGGTTGTCTACCACTGTTCCAACTGAAATCACCAGGCGGCTTAAGGAGGGGTTCTGTTTCTATACGATATTACAAACTCACCTCAACTTGTGCTTCTGGTAAAACAAGTGACACGGACTCGTGGAGTTTTGTGATTTGCTTAACCGCACCGCGCATGGCTTGAGACGGCATTGGAGCTTTGACCTCCCACTGTTAGGGAACGAAGTCAATCTTATTAAATTTCCGTATACTGAAAGTATACGAAGTCAATCTTATTAAATTTCCGTATACTGAAAGTATTGTCAACAAGCGATGCTTTACAGTTTACCTTGGAGAAAATATTTTTAAAGAGCTCTTCCATCAGGTTTACGATTTTGCTGAACAACTCTTGACGATGGTTGTTGTAATCCTGAGAAACAAGACGGAAATTAAACGTCTTCAATCAACGATGTGGGCAACATTGTGTGTCCCTTCGTTGGGAGCAATGGACTTTGAAAGGATAGAGGAGGTAAGTCACTTAAAAAAAAAGAGAAACCGTTGCGGTGGGGATTATTACAAAATAATTTGGTTTTAACAACTACGTTGATGATTTGAACTGGCCCCCGTAAAGAGATGCTAAGGCTGAGCGTTACCCCCTCGTCAGACTTACTCGCTCTGACGAAGGGGTAACGCTCGAAAGTAGGCTTTAGAATTTCTTTACGGTTGCCAACCCACATCATCGACTCTGAAAGTGTCCGGGTTCTTAAGTAAGTGAGGCACGCTCGAGACCAGTGCTTTTTTTTTCCCACGAATACTACACAACGATTCCGAGCAGGAACTCTAAAGAAGACCTTTGGCACCGGCCAGAGTCCAACATGCTCTGCAGTGATGGACAATTGAGTTGTTCAAAGAGTCCATAACGCTATTCAAAAGATAAATCGCTATCCAATGGATGAGTGTAACAAAACTTACTGCGCTATCCACCTACTGATAGAGATTTATTCAGTGGATAGCACTGTCCACCCCTCGAACAACCGTGGCCAGCTTTGAAAAGTCAATGAGGGGATTGCGAGGCTAAAGTTTCTGGCAAAGTAGAGATTGTTGTTGAGTTATTCATTCCTGCCATTCCTTCTCACATATGAAGTACAACCAGAGTTTTATACAAACCGACAACCAAAGAGCAGTGCTTTTTACAGTGTCTTCGTTGTTAGAGCTGTTTCTCAGCTGCTGTATTGTTGTTACGGTGGCGAAAGAAAACCTAATTGAAATGCCGGCCATTGTTTTGCTCGCAAATTTTCAGCGTATCCAAATGTTGCGACAACTAAGGCTCGCACTTGATTGGCTATCTGTGAGTTTGTTTATTGACCAATCAGAATGTCTGGTTTTTATACTTCTTTGCGCTGAATTAACCCTCTCTTGCACTGAATTACCTGAATACTGCCTTTATCTTAACCAGTCAGAACTGAGTAATTTTTTCATGTATATTATTATTGGGGTAATTGTATTTAACAATCTTATGAAGAATGCAATTACACTACATGCCGTCGGCTCACCTTCAGAATTTGATCAAACTGCGACAGTAAAACGTACTGCTTTGGCGGTAGCCTTTCCTCGAAATGCGCTTTGAAGACTGGAATGTGAATTGTAACCACCTCTAAACAGCGGGCAGCAAGAGCTGACAAAACAAAAATTCAAACAAACAAGAAAACAATGGAGCCATACGTTAAAACAACCTCGTTAAATTTGGCGAGGCAAGAAGCTCATCACTGCTGAGGTTGGGAAGCATCATGTACTCTTCACCATCCCAGGTAGGCCCCCAAACATTTCGTCAGGTTACTTTACCGCTTTCACTCCCGTGATCAGAATTTCAATTTTCTGAACTGTCAGCTATTTATCTAATTTAATTTAAACAGTGAAATTTTAGCGTTAAATCAAATGATATCCCCTAAATGGTATATATGCGTTATTGACCGAGCGTGAGGCCAACATGGCTGGATACTAGCCGAATTCTTTTTTTTGAGGACTTCGCTGTACTCTGCCCGTGCCGCGACATCGGACCAACATTCTCAAGTACGACTCTCACACTCGGTTAGTAAGAAGTTCTTCTTTCCGATTACCTAGATGTTTGGCTGTGATCGTCTTTAGTCCAACAAGCTGCAGTGCTCCAGCTCCAAGAACCAACTGGCATGTTCTAGAGTTGAACATCTATGAAAACGTTACACAATAAGGCGCCGTCAGGCTCAAGAAAATATAAAACAAACGTTGGCGAGAAAGACTGGAAATTAAGCAAGACAACGGTGGTAAGAATGGGAAACGTTGTAGCTAATGACAATAAAGAGAAAACGTGTAATACATGAAAAGGGCGACAAAACATGCATCCTGGGCGACATGGATACAGTGTGTTGCTGAAATCTGCTAAGAGACTGGAACCCACCGCTGCATGACAAATCACACGACAAAAATAATACCATAGAGCAATATTCAATTCAGTGTCAAAAGTGATTCAGGATGGCATTGGTTTTACGTTACTTCGCTCTTGTGATTGGTCCAGAAAACTCGCGCCATCCTCTCCACCGATCAGATTCAAAAGTATAACCAGTCGCAACTTCGTCACTCGCCTTTTCCCGCGCCTTGGGCAGTTTTTTTTTTTCAGATTTGAGCTTTCATGAACTCTTTGCGACATTTCCTCTGTTCTGAGGGGCTTAACTGATTACTTTGAAATTGTTTTTTTACGACATTCGATCGAGATGTGCTCCAATGAAAAGGAAACTGGGGATGGATTTCTAAAATCCAATGAGTTCGACTAAAAAAAAACTGAACTCTACCACATGAAAAAGTATCCAGGCCTAATTCAGACCGTGAAATTCAAAACACACTCCGCTTTAACACTCACATTACTAAAATACTAATGTTTCAATTGTTTTCCTTTGACAAGCTTATTTTTTCAGCTCAATAGTTTGCAAATTTGCGTTCCCAGTCCTATGCTGTTTTACAACACGACTAACTGCTGGTGGTAATGAACTGCAAATATGTCACTGACCTTCAAAGTTTCAAACAACTTATTCATAATGTCTGTGACCAGCATCGGGGTGTCATCCACACACTGGCAGTAATCCACTAACATGTTCACTAATAAAAGCACTGTCCTGTAAAAAGAAACATACGAAGGAAGCATAATGGTCTGCGAAAGAAGATTTGTTTACGCTCCAACACAGTCGTCGAATTACAGCCGTGAAATCTCCATGACTGTATCCGAATTAAAGGCTATACAAGTAAAGCGAGGATTATGATTGAACTGCTTACGAGAAAAATACAAATGAATTCCACAGTTACTTGTAATCATAAGGGTGACTAATGCAACACGTAATAAAGGTAAATAGTTCTTAACTCAATTAAACAACAGACGACACTCTCCATCGGTTTACCGGTGTAATAACCCACCCGGGATGTTGGGAGAACACGAGGAAAGTTTGTAAATTACGAGCCGGAGGCCAGATCGAATGAATGAATGAATGTAATCAAAATGATTACTAATTAGAAACTGTTTACTCCGGAGTAACAAGCTCCCCATTGAAAGCCTCTGAAGGAATGTAATCAAAATGATAACAGCTAGATTCTTTTTTCTCTCTAGTTTTTGTCACTTATTTGTCTTCACCTCATTTGTATTCACATGTCACTCATAGTTCTTTATTTGCCTTTCATCGTTTAACCCTTCTCAGTTTGTAATTTAGACCCTTGTTGTATTACGTAACCTATCTTAAAATTTCTGTTTTGTATATAAGTCGCAATCATTGTAAATAGCTTTTTAGTTTTTAATTTTTATCCTGAAGAAGGCCGAACGGCCAAAACGTCGTGCATTAAACTCGTCCAGAACAGTCAAGAGTTGGCCTCTTCGTTACGTCCTTATAGTACACTTATATATACATACATATATATATTTAATTATAAAATAAAATTAACACATTTCTTAACTTACCCAACAACGGCAAATTTGTCCCCATTTACAAATAAAACTGGAGATGGCTTGCTGTCGTTAGTTGCCGTAGGACCTGGAAAGAATTTCAATTTTGAACATGAAAACGAGCACTTTAGAGTACATGACATAACTGTTGTACTATTGTATTAACCGAAGGACAGTTTTTCCCGATATACTCCAATGACAGAAATACGCTACACCAAAAATTGGTCTTTGCATTAAGCACTTTTCGATTGAGTTCTGTAAAAACAAACAAAGCAATCACAACAGCCAATCAGAAGAAGCCAAGGAGCCAATGAGAACTCAAACTGGAAATAAACAGGCTGCCTGAGGCGCGAGAAACCGCACGTGACCAAGTTGCAATTGGTTTTAGTTTTGAACCTGAATGGTTGAAAAATGAGCGCGATGATTTTTCTTGACCAATAACAGAGCGTAGTTTTGCAAAACCATAGCAGTCCTGAATTACGTTTGACACTCAATTGAAAATTCTATGAACCTTCTCAGTATTACATAGCCTCGCTCGTTAATGGTTCACTGAAGCTCAGTCAGGAGGGCATCGAACCGAGAAATTGGAAGGTCTGAAGTTAGAGTCCTGACAGACGAAACATAATTCCTATTTGTACCACGCTGGCAACTAAAGGAGTGTTAACTGTAACCTCTAATAGAAACATCAACACTTCACTTTGAACATACCTATAGAAAAATTTGGCTCCTTGCCCCGGGGGTAAACACCTGGTAAAAGATTAAAAAAATAACTATTTATCAAAAAACGAAAATCACTAAATTTAGAAATATAATGAACCTGAACAGTGGGAATTTCAGTTTAATCTTACCATCAACTAAGGAGTCCACTAAAGACTGGAGCTCTGTGGGTACATCAGCCTGCTTCCATCTCTCATTATCTAATATCAAACTAAAAAATAATCCCCAAAATAAAAAAAAGTTAAATCGATACACATAATGCAATTTGGTTCATGTTCTTAGAGTAACATCAAATTGACGAGAGAAAGAGAGCGATTTTCATTGTGTTCAAAGAAATTCGGGATTGTTTTGGTTTCGTTTTCCTTTACTTTGTGATTGGTCTAACAAAACTAGCACTATTTTCTCAACCAATCAGATTCAAACCAAACACCAATCGTGTTTTCCCGCGCTTCCGAAGCTATCAAAGGGCTCAAAATACGAATGGGGTTTATCAAATAAAATGGTCTCCCTTTCTCCTAATAAATTGGTATAATTCTCAAGATTCCATCTCTGCATCCCAATCTAAAAGCTGAAGATACAAATTTTCCGGTGCACTTTGAGCTGCATGAGAACAAACGCCTCACCTTAACTTATTTTTGCGTTCCTCGTGGAACCTTTCGACAAATTTTTTAGCTTGTGACAAAAGAGTGGCCCTAAGACTATGGCTCTGACGTCCACATATTTTCTCACAGTCCATAACAAAGTCTTCCACCATACGTGTCAGCCTGACAAACTCTGCTGAGGATAAGCTGTCCAGGTAACCAGCCTGTTAACAACAAAACGATGTTTTTACATGAATGAAGGGGGTGAGTTGCTAAAGACAATGTGGTGCTGCATTGGTGGGGGAGGAGGGGGGATATTGCACGATAATTTGGCTTTATCAATTTAGTTGATAATGTGAATTAGCCTCCGTGATTAGCCTCCTTCTAAAGCTGACGTTCCGCATCACTCTGATGCAGGGCTAACGCTAGAAGTCATCTTACGAATTACGACGTTTAAACATGAATGGCAAGTTAGAAGAAGTGGTTACAGTGTAGGCCCTGGCTTTGCGGGTTTACGTTTCAGTCAGTAACTAAATATGAACAGGGCAATGGGACGGCATCACAGCTCACAACACTAATCCGAGTTTTGACCTAAAACTGATCGAAGTCTGAGGGAGTGATCTTGAATTAGGAATGGAACGCATGCCATCATGTGTCACAATAGCAAAAACTGTAACTAAAGTGTCAAATGGTACTAACAAAGCCCCACATAAAAAGCTTTCCATTTATCACCTTCCTCTGTGTAAGAAAGAAACCGACACTCAGCACTCTTATAACCTTAGTGTGACGTTTGCCAACTATGAACCTAGTATACCACCTGACTTCTTATCAATTCTCTATAGTTCAGTGCTGTGGCATCAGACCGATGAGTATTGTTTGACGGTATTTTTGAGGGCGATTGGTTTGACTGAAACAACAATAATAGAATAATAGACTCAAGGAAGCAGAAGTTAACCTGCGATGGATTATCCAGGGGAAGTAGCGATACTCCTACTGGCTTCATGCTTAGGAAAAAAGGAAAAGCTCCGACTGGATGAACCTCTTGGCTTAAAAGAAGAATTACACATTTCAAAGCGGAACTCGCAGCGCGCGCAGCGAAGCCTCATACCTAAGTAAGAAGACACTTCACAGAGAGGAGCTGCTCTTACCTTTCCTCTCACATTAATAAGTTTCGCACAACGCAGCTGTGCCATTTCACAACCTGCACACAGCAGCTCCTTACTTTCCTGCGTCAGTTTCTTACAATCAGTTGTGCTTATCAAGATGTCCACTCCACTGCTGCATGACATAAGAAAGTATCATGTAAATGTTTCCTTGCCAATGAATCTCACACACTTTTCTACGTGGAGAGTTCTGATACTATTCCCTCTCCTGTATGCCCTTGGTAAAATAAGAGGTTTCGGGATATCACGATTATTTGTAATGACTTTTCTCATCTTGGTTTGGTTTGAGCTACGTTTCTCGAGGGTAATTTCAGAAAATATGTCATTGAAGGCTATTTTCGTGCAGGTCTCTCGCGATGCGTAATGAAACTGGTAAGAAAAAGTTAGCTGATGTAAAATAGAAGACTTTGATCCACATGCTTGAATGTTGCAAGTATACATGACGACCGTTTGCCGGCTACAAATGTATTAACACAAGCCTTAACAAACTCTTACCAGACAGGTTGAAGAAAATCTGATTCAGGAATACCAAAACTTTCCAAATCATCTGGATCGAAGTGAGTTGTGACACCTCCAGCAGCTATCATCAACACTCGTACAATGCTCTGATGCAACACCTAGAATTGGAATCGCAAAGGTTGAATATTCAAACAACATTTACAGGTTTCATTTCATGAAGAGGCGGAAAAGCGTTGGAAGGCATGACAAGACTTTCAAATGGATTTTACAAAGGTACCCGAATCACAAAGGAAATTAGTGCACCCACCACACAGGGCTAATTCTCCAAATTAAGGTCAGCCCTGAATGTCTCACTTTTATTCTCCCTACAAGATGCTATAATTTCCCTATAATCGAGTTAAGAGAATTTAATGTCTGAACAAGAAAGCACCCTCTGCCTAAAATGCTAGAAAAATTGATGTAAAGAAATGTTGAGTAAAAACTACATTTTAATCCCCTCTAGGAGTTAAATGGGTAAAGAATTCACTATATATCAACTGAACAATCAATCATTCACAGATTTCTTGGAGCAACGTAGACACATTAGGTAGAAAGTTCAGATATTTTAAAACTATTTTTCAAGCGGTACACACTTCTCCTTTAAAAACGGGTTGATAATTGATGTGTTTGCAGCTTACCTTCATCCTTCGCAGGACACATAGAGAGGCGTTAAACACTTCCTTTAGCATGTTCATCCACTGCAGGAAATCTAAGCCTCTCATTGCATCAGTAATGCTCGGACTGATGAGAAAGAAGACAGTTGGTTAAAAAGATCACTGATTATTAGATATTTAGAAAGTTACTTAATGGTAGAGGAAGATGTTTTATCGTCTTGTCACGAGCGTGGGACAAAGAATCAATTCTGAGTCCCCATGAGGAATCGAACCCGAGACACACCTTTGGATCTGAGATTCGATTCCTCATGGGGACTCAAAATTGTTTCTTTGTCCCACGCTCGTGACAAGCGAAAAAACATCTTCGGTCTATTTCTTTACTGAGCTCAAAACTTAACATCTTTCTTATTCTACTTATTTAATGTTATGTGTCATTGCAAATGTGATCAGTAACTAACAATCTTACGGTGCGTCATTAACTGATTGAGGAATTCAAAGGTTACATGAATGGCTTTGTTTACAAGAAAGATGTTCTTAGTCTTGTCTCGAGCTTGTAACAAAGAAAAATTGGATTCCAACGAGGAATCGTAACTGGACCTTCCGATTCTGAGCTCCGATACTCTACTAGTTGCAGAGCAAGCGTGATTTTGGCGAACGAGTGCTCCGTATTTTCTTGGTGAATGTTATAGCTGCCATCTTCGATTTTGACAGCAGCAGGAGGGTAGGAAGAGAAAGGAGTCTGAACCTTTTAGGGGATAAGCCATGGCCAAAGGAAGGAGAAGGGAGGAGATGGGGCATCTCTCCCCGCCCACTCCCCCTACCGTCCTTTCTAACTCTAACCTAGCAGGCCAGAAAAACGATCGTAAGCTTGTAACGTTAAATCGACCTAATATGACGCCTACGCGGCAATCTAATGCTTCACCACAGAGCTAGCGTGAACTCAATCGTTAGTTATCATTTTCCACTCACATCTTCCCCACCTACTCCCCCACAGACATATTTGATAGTTTATTTCTAGACTACACTGACTTAGTTGAGATTTACACCGCTAGATCTGTGACATTATCCTTATAGCCATAATATTACCTTTCCTCTTCGTTCTCTTTGCTGTCTGTGACGATATCTTGTACTGTCTGTTGAAACATATTTTAACATTTTAAAACATAAGAATGTACGTAGAGATTCAAAGTTCACACTTCAGGTCATACTTGATCTAGAATCTTGAGTGTGAGATTCTTAAGTCAGAGTATGAGTAGTCGGTTAAGATATTAATAGGGACCTTGTGAGGAGTCAGCGCGGGGACGACGAGGAAGACGTCGATTAGACGAAAATTTTGTATTTTCGCTAATGTCTGGATACGTTTACCGTCTTTTACGCCGCCACACCTCAACTTCAGCATAACGTGCAGAGCTCTGTACATTTATGTGAGCTGCGTTGAGTTTCAAATAGAAATATCAATAATTTGCTGTCAGGGTTTCCGTTCTCAAACCACGCAAATTTTGGTGATTTCACGTTGTTGTTTGCAGAGAACGGCTGAGAAATCTGCAAAGTTTGAACACGGTTTACTGAGATATTGTTCTGTCCATTAGATGTTTTATATTCCCATGTCTTCATTGCCGTCATTGTCATAGGTTGCTTCAGGCCCCTATTAAGATTATAATTTTGATTCCATTGTCAACAAACCTGTCTAACTGTACTCTTTATTGTAGCATATGCTTCATCGCGATATAAGTGAAGAAAGTGCAGCTTGTGTTTCCGGAGAAGGCCAAATAATACAGACACAAGCCTATCCTGTTTTAGAAAAAAACAAACAATTTTAAAAAATCCAATTGCTGTACTCAGTTAAAATAAAAGCACTTCAGCACATAGAATGTCACGGATCAACGTCAGTATCGGCGCCTCGCCTCGGCTACCCCTCCCCTCGCCTACCCCTCCCCTCGGCTACCCCTCCCCTCGCCGAACAACAGTTTACATATGACAACTTAGGGTTAATGTTTGGCTTGGGGAGGGGTTGCTCAGATAGCGACACGAAGTCATCTTCAATGTTTCAAGGTTGCTGCTCATCAGGGTATTGTATTCACATGTCGTACCTCGTCAACAAGTCCCTCACTCTCCATGTCATCCTCGGATGTCCTAGTAAGGTTAGCTGTTGCAAACTCCACAAAATCTGCTTCCATCATTCGTTCAATCACTCGTTCAAGTTCTGCCAGTTGTGAGCCCAAGTGTCTGAGTCACAAAAAGAAATAAAAAAAGCAAAAAATCACAAAGGTTATTGTAAGTGAAATAATAACACTCTCTTCTTACAGACGATTTCAAGAAATTATTCTTCATTCATTATGCTGATGATACTAAATTGCAAAAACAAAAGTGGAGATATTCAAATGACGTTTATGAACAGACTGTTCAGCTACATACTGTATTATCAAATCTTCAACTCTGAATATTGCATTTCTAGTGTTCTGATTGGCTCACTCAACTCCGCTTATCAGCTAATATTGCAAGTCACCTTACAAGGAAATGCATTGCGCCAACTGTTGTGGAGTTGAAAAAAGTTCCAAATACTAAGGATTTAATGGAATTTGATAAAATAATCATTCCATTTGCAATTGTTGGATACGAGATTGCACATATCCAACTCGAAACAACCCCCTCATTGGCTATCTAACATCTCATATATCCAGTGTGCGCTCAGGAATAATTGTTAAAGACCTCAATTGTGGATATTTTTACAACATTTAAACCACCTAAAGTACATGACATGACATTTGAATTTCAATCAGTTTGTTATGTGCCTTACATCTGAGTTTTGAAGAAATTTTCTGTTCCAGTACTGGATATGTTTACTTTAAGTTCTAAATAGAATTTAGTGAACCCTTTCACTGAGGCAAAAAAACTGTTATGGCCAGACCATTTCAGCTAGAATTATTAAGATACCTAAAGCTTTGAATGCCAGCAAGTTCTTGTTGCAATACTTCCTGAGTAGTGCTGATCAAGTCCAGTGCACCAACAAAGTCAGATGTCGACAACAGCAGCTGAATTGTTGGCTGTGTTTGATGAACTGTGGCCATCATTTTCAGCTGAAGAAAACATAGATTATCACCACTCCTTCACATTCAAATGCTAACATTTTAACTCCAAAGATGTGATTGCTAATTCTCCCCTCTAACTGGAAGAATTTGGGATTAGATCACGATAACAACTTCTACCTGATGAGCATTCTCATTACCTGCCTGCTTAACAATGTATGGATATTATGGGGAAAGTTAAATTTTAATCACTTGTGGGAGTTAAAGGTTATAATTACTGAATGAAATTATTCTTTGCCTTAATTTAAGAGTCTAGATTGCTTGATAAAATTTATCTGACAATACCTATTCTGAATCTACCTTTATTGTTTTTGCAGATCTGTGATAACCAAACAGAGCAACTAAGTTTTTGCTTGCTTCATTCAAACTTTCCTTATGAACAATGACAAAATAAACCCTTCCATCAGTATGTATATTCTCAATACTGTTCTTTATACATTTTTTAAGGAGCTGACAGGGAGAATTTGTTGAACAATCAAGAGGTTCTTTAGTTGATGATCTTTTCCTGAATGATTTAGGGTAGATATTGTAAGGAGAAACTAGATGTAAATCACTCCTGGGAGCCAAGGCAGTAGAAAGAAAACAATTTGAGCCTGAATTATACAGAACATTCGAAATCGTTCTTCCCTTCAACCAATTACAAGTATTTGTTATCATACTGAAACTGGAACACTGACACAAGGCACACAAAATTCAGCTCACAGTCAAAAAAGGGCTTCTTTAACTTTCATCCCGATTCATTTCTGGGGGTGTTAGATGGATAAGGGTTCCACAACAGGTTGTTAGCTCCTCTCACCTTTTCAAACACACTGAGATATTTAGATCTCAAAGATGAAAGCCTGAGAACATTCAGGAATCCTGAACACAAAACCTCTTGAACTTTTTGCACCTTCATTCTGAGAAAATTAAGAAATAAAGCAAGCATTAATTAACATTAACAACACAAGTACAAACATTTTCAACAACATTATCATAAGTTAAAATATCCAGGCCACAAAACAGTAATAGATGAATATGCACTTATAGATTGAGTGGGAAGGTCAGGCTGGAAAATGTTTGGCTGGAAGTCATGATGACCAAGCAAGCCTGACCAAGTGCATGCATTATGATCATCCAGAGCCAATTATTTTCCTGTCCAACCTGATCATGACATAACTAAGCCAATGAGCATTTTATCAAATGACTTTTGCCCTTTGTTTTCCAGCCTAATCTTCTTCCCACACACATCTCTACTGTCCCATCGTGCCCTCATACAGGATTTTTGTCTAAAGTTTTTTAATAAAAATGCTCTGGATCATACAGGTGATACACAAATCAATTCAAAATAAAACTTAAATTGTACCTTAAATGTTTGATCTCACTGACTGTCCCTCCAACATGATCCTGCAGCTGATCTTGGGATGCCATTGCACTGAAGAAATCTTCTGATCTTAGTGAGATCTGATGAGCCAGATTCACTTCTGTGATGTCCAAATAGTGTGACAACTGAGAAAAGAATTAAACAACAAATGGTTCCTTTGATTGAAAACAAAAAAAAAACTTTGGCATTTCAGCACTTCCTGGGTGACCAATTGCTTCAATACAGAACTTGATGTAAATGTTCTTTGTGTATTTTACTTCAAGGTTTCAGGCAAAAAAAATAATTTGAAAAAGAATTAAAGAAAATGAGGAAAAACCTACCTAACAGTGAGAGTACCAACTTAAAATATTTTATAAATTGTGTTATTGGGGAAGAAACTAAATTCTTCTGGTACCACTCTGTTCCCAGAAGTATCACTCTGTTCCCAGGAGTATAAAAAGATATCTTGGAGCTGTCAAGGAAACTTTTAAAACCAATTGTTGGGCAATTTTCTATATCAAATAGGCCTGATTATCTCATCCCAAGGGGATGATGACAAAAATATCATAGAAACCAAGGTAAGTTATCAGGAGACACAGTGCTGTAGTGGTTAGTGTGCTAGACTCTGGCTCAAGAGGTCTGGGTTGAGGACCAGGGTCATTGTGTTTTGTTCTTATGCAACACACTCTACTCTCACAGTGCCTCTCTCTCCACCCAGGAACACAAATGGGTACGGGAGAATTGTCAGGGAAGCCTGAAGAAATGCTGGGGGGGGGGGGGGAAGATTACCTATCAATAGACTGGCACCCCATCTAGGGGGGGAGGAGAGGAGGGAAGAATACTCCTTGTAACTTCATACGATGAAAACCAGGATAAGCTCCAACTGTATGGGTCACTCAGCTTGAGTATAAACTCAAATACCTTTGCCAAGATACAATGTCGGTTCTACCAATATTGGGCTGCTGAACCAAACTTTATTTAGGCAGACAAATAGTGACACATCAACCAGTCAGTACAAACTTACAGTCATGCAGATTGGTGTCCCGCTCAAACTCAACCCTCTCTAAATATTTAGAACAGTTATCACTACCTTTTCCTGAAGAAGCTTTGCTGAGTTCCTCGGCACAGCCCTTGTACTCTCAGCTGGTTCTTGAGTCACCATACTCCAAGGAAGGACACTGTTAAAGATCTCTGGGTCTTCCAAAGCAAAATTGGGCATCAGGAACACCTGAAATTTACCAAGACTTAACAACTCAATGAAGTCTCCATGCTGACCAAAATACAATTATGTTACAGTCTGTAATTTCCAATAAACTTGTATGAAACCACCCTTCCACTTTGCCCTCTACAGGATCCTTAACAACTGCTGGTAATCAATCATTTAATGAATTTCACAATTACTCAGTCAATTAAACCATCCATGAAAAATTAGATAATGTTAGTATTTCCTTGAATAAGCACCCTTCCCTAAAAAAGCACCCATCCCTTGGCTGAAATGGGAAATAAGTGCCCCACCCAAACAGTAGTCTTGAGTACAAAGAAAATCAGTTTCTATAGCCACAGTGACTTAATTTACAACTTTGTAAATTTTAACTACAGCAAAATCAGTAAAGGAGAATAAAAAGTGTCCCATTGATTAAGCACCCTCCTTCTGACAAGCACCTTTCCTTTGAGCCAAAATTTTAAATAAGTGCCCTAGTGCTTATTGGACAAAATACAGGGAAGGAATTTTAAAAGGTCACACAAGTCACAATTCTACCAACAGTAAACAATTAAAGACAAAAATTGTTTTACAATGAACAACAAACCTTTGGTATTAGGCTGATATCAGATGCAACTTTGTCAACTGGAAAATAAAAATTTCAAGCAAAGTGAGTCCTAATTCATTAATCAAAGATCAACCAAAGATAGCTCATCTTCAACTAGCTTGTTCCACCTCTAATAAAATCATATTCCACAACAGATACTTTAACCACTAACCACTCTGTCTTTTGGCTGCAGCAACTGCAGCTGCTGTAAAACCAGTGTCACCAGGAGTTGCTGTAGTCCCACCCCCAACTGAATTTTTCTTGAGTTTTTGATGAACTTTGATCCTCTAAAAAAATTCAAGGGATTCTTTTAGTTAAATTTGAACATGTACATGCAGTGAAAGAGTGCTAAAAGTTTAATAAAAATGAGACAAAATCACCCTCAAAGAGTCAAAGGATTAATGAGCATTCACAAAAAACTGTAAGCATGGATTTGATGACCACATAAAAGTTATTGCATGGTGTTTTCCACAAACTGTACCTTAGACCTCTTCAGGATTACTAACTAAGCTAAATGTCTTAATAATAAAAGAACAATATTCTAAATGATTCCAAATGAATTTAAAGGTTACTCACAAACTCAGTTTTCTTGAGGTAGTCATCGAAAGAAGCCTTTGGGATGTTTGGAAGTAATGTGAGAGGTGGAACATCTTGTGATATAAAATCTTCTCCCCATGTCTTGGTGAAGAAGTCTGTCTGTCTTTTGAGCAGTCGTGGGTCATTTAAGATGGCAGGAAGGTTTTGTGTCGAGGAATATACAGTGAAAGAACTTGCATTAGGAAATGAGATGGGTGGTAGTCTGGGTCTTGGATATAGTGATTCATCAGTGGTAACAGAAGCATGACTCTCTGATTTTACTGAAAAATAACAGACGCATTGAAGCATCTAATCAAGTTGTATAATAAGCTGAGTTTAATACTCACATTTTGATTGGTTCTTAACTATCAGGGTTCTCCTTATCAGGCGGTAACTGGTTTACCACTTGTAAGAGCAGTGTTACCGCCTGTAAATGCTCAGAACCCTTAAAAAAATACACATTTATGGTGAGCTAATCTGGTAAGAAAGTGTAATAACAAGCCAACAGTGTGTACTATTATAGATCTACATGTGCTTTAGTTAGCTAACACTGACTGGTACCTTTCGGATTTCGAAGCAAGAGTGATTTTTTGTGGGCTTTCTGCTAAATCTCATGACATTTGTCAGTTCTCTGCATGTGCAAATGTGATGTCGTTTAGTTGTTCAGTTTCTACAATGAAATGGCAGCAAACAATGCTGTCGTTTCTGTCCAGTAACAAGAGGTCATAAAGAGTGGCTGGTAAGCTTTACAAGAATTTTAGGGGTAAACAAAACAAAGGTTACATACTAGCAATGAAAAGCAGCCAATCGCCAGAAATAACTGCTTTGACAGCTCTACAATTGCTGGCTGTATAACGAACATGTGAGGACAAAGCTAGTCTTCATCATGAAATTCTACTTGAAATGTGATTCAGACAATGGTTTGAAAGAAACCTTGAAAATAAAATCTCTCAACAGTGTAAAAGTTCTGAATTTGAGACGATTAGAACATGAATTCAGCTAATCAATGTGATTCGATTTCATAGCAATGCAATTTATAGCTGACACCACTGATTTTCCAGCAATATGCCATGTAAGTGACGACAAAGATATCACCCAAAATCAAAGGGAGACCAGTTTACATTATAAGCAGTTTGGAAAGGGCATGGTCAAATATAATGCTTTTAAACAAAATTTTACTGTTTTGTTCAACCTCTGAACCTAAAGGTGTATCATTCACATTATGAGTTTTTCAAAGGAGAATTTTTGATAAGCGTGATGTACTGTATGCTTTAGGAAATGACAAAGTTGAGAATGACCAGCCGCCTGAAGCTGCAAATGTGCTTTACTGGTTTGAAAAGGTCCATTATCTGTTGTGCTGAAAACTAGGGAAAACCCTGAACTAAGTCTTTTGGAGAACAGACATAAATAGATGACATTGCTATCACTAGCATTTTGCTTTTTTAATCATATAAACAAATAGATTTCATGTTGCTGTGAGTCCCTGTAAAGAATTCGATCACAGAAGACATATAATGATGGCAAGAACCTTTGAGACACACTCAGCTGTGCCTCTTGTGCTGATCATTTTTTTTTCCACATCATCTGTGATCTATTCCTGAACAGATGGCAACAGCATGGCAACATAGAGCATTTTTGTTAAATAGAAAAGTAGCCTTACTCAAAGACATTGTAACTTACATGAACACAGTTAACAAATTATAGAACTTATAATGAAAAGAAAAGTTGATATAAATAAAAAATGTTTTTTCAGAAACAATAAATACTAGAATACTTCCTGTATCATGAATTAACCTAAGATAAAGCAAAAGATAAAAGTGAAAGGAAAAATAAAAAAAACTCTCTATCCTCCAAATAGAGGTTGAACCCTTTTCACTCCCAAGACCTCATAAGCAATTCTCTTTACCATCTACCCTGCATTTCCTATGATCTCAGTTGGTAGAATTTAGTATTAGATCAGCTAAAGATCCCCAACATGTAACTGATATTTTTTTTCATTCTCATAAATTGTCTGCTTGATAATTTTTTGAAATTGTACTGAGAAATTCTGTCTTGGATAATCATGGAAGTTAATGGGTTAAAAAAAAATTTGGATAAAATATATCTTAAATATATTCGGTGTAACATTGATTCTGGTGCCTTAATTTAGTAGTGCATGTACATCAATGTACATATATTTGCTACCAATTTTTTAAGACTTCGACTTTTTGTGTGAGTTTAATGCAGTCTACTTGAGTTTTAATTCATAAAACGCGCACGAATAAATGGCAAGATGCAAACTCTTCTACACTGCCTTATGTTACTCGGAGTCCAGTCATCATAATAAAACAGAATTCGTGTAAGCCGTCTATGTTTTCATATATTTCAAAATTAACGAGGAATCAGAGAACTAGATGCAATTAATGATGTCAAGAAAATAACACAAGGGAATTATTCTTAACGATCAGAATATTTAAACTGTTAACTATACACTTACCCTCCTCCAGTTTTGTGTGATTCTTCCTTACATGATCCTCGTAATCTTTGTCGCTGACACCTTCAACAGGTAAGGAAGGGCAAACGCCATTTTTACCGTAATGGCAAACAAACGATCCTCCTTCTTTTGTGCAGTGCAACTGTCTCAGATGAGAACTAAATTCTCTTGGTGTCCTGAAAAATATCTTGTCGCTACAAATTGCACAGCTCTGCCATGGTTTAGCTTCATTGGGGTCCACTAGTCGTAACATAATTAGACGACTGGAAACCAATTCGCCCCTTGTATTTTAATAAATCATACCTCGATGATCTCTTTGCATTGATCTGATTCATTGGTCTTTTTCGATTTTGACGATGTGTACTCCCTGTCCGTTACGTCAACCCATGTTTCATCCTTTCGGTAACCGGTAACCGGGCGAGGCGACAAAAAATACATCACTTGTTGAACTCTATTTTTCCAACAACTTTCGCCGATTCTGTAATCCTTAGCAACCTCGCATTTAGCTACGTCACCAAAAGTGGCTCCACTTTATTTTTGACACTGCGATCTCTGTTGATTTCCCCATTTTAATTTTAGGGAAAAAAATCATTATTATCATTTTGCAAGTTCACATGCTGTATGGTGGTGTCTAGCTAGTTGAAAGCTTGAATCCTAAAGAAAAAGTCAAATGTAATTACATTTGTCTGTTCTATTGTATCTCAGATTAATGTCACGTGAGTCAGCACGAGAACATCTTATTCATAATTACATGACGTATCAGCGGTTCCCGCTCTGATTCAAAAACTTTAGCGGCAGTTCTGGCGAAGAGTTGAGCTTTTTACCTGTTTGAAGACAAGGATAAGGCTTTATATTGCCCTTTTCAGCATTTAAGTGTTTATCGGCTGGTTATTTTGAAGTTTTTTTCGGAAGTAATGCAACGGGAAAGGCAAGAAGAAACTGAACATGACGACGTCATGGAAGAAAACGCGGGACCTTTGCTTATCAACAAACTCGAGGTACTGAGGCAAATATAATATGGCGTTGTAGTTCGTCATTACAGATAAGATTATTCTCAGGGGTATATTTCTGGCATTTCCCGCGTAAATCTGAAATTTCTATTTCTTTTTGAGCCAAAACGTATCAAACTTGCCACGGGTAATGAGGCGTACCTCTTGCAAATTTCGATTGGCTCAACGCTAAGTTAACGCTAGCAGTTTCAGTACACTCCAGAGGACCGATTTTCGTTGGAATCTCCCTTGAATGCTGCCGAATTCATTTTTATCATTGCTATAACGGATTGTTTGAAATTTATCTATAAGGAATCGAGAGTCTTCAGGAAAGTGACTTTGTAATAAATTAATAAATCTAGCTACCATACCTGAACGCCGCCATGATGATAGAATTGCTCGCTTTATGAAGATGTGAAGTTATTAATTTTATAAGACTTCCTTGTGATTGTCCTCGAAGACTATGCTCGAATTTCTTGCGAACAGAATATATCTAATTTCTTTTTTTTTTATGTTCTTACTGTATGTCTTTTGCGGTTTAGATTTTGATCAGGGTAGACTCCTTTACGTATCCATTCTGAAATGTCAGTATAAGCTGACCTCTCTTCGTTGAAGATATGCATGTAAGCTGAGCAAGATTTCCGCGGAGCCTTTTACTTAATCGTGTATACAGTTCTTGGATGAAAAAAATGATAAAGAAAACGATGGACTGCTTCAGAATCCAAGGCTTCTAGGACTTTGTTTCAGAATAGTATGGGGTTACATGGAAATGTTTCTGCAAACTGTTTTTTTTCTAATTTTCACTTTTCAACATGATAAATGATTGTATTTGAACAGCATGAGTGTGTGTGATATCTGGGTTATTTTGTAAGCTTACATGTACAGCTTATGAAAAATTATGTCGATGTGATGATATTGAATGATGACTAGTCATAACTGACATTTTTCCTTCATAAGGAGCATGGAATTAGTGCCAATGATGTAAAAAAGCTGCAAGAAGCTGGATATCACACCATTGAAGCAGTGGCCTACACACCGAAAAAAGCTCTACTTGGTATTAAAGGAATCAGTGAGGCTAAAGCTGACAAACTTCTCAATGAAGCCTCTAAGCTGGTGCCAATGGGATTCACTACTGCCACAGAATTTCACCAGAGAAGATCAGAATTAGTGATGATTACTACAGGGTCAAAAGAGTTAGACAAACTTATGCAAGGTTGGTTTGAAACTTTTGTCAAGTGCTTATATATTTTCTCTAGTTTAATATTGATTGATGGCTTATTTGTGTGAAATTTTACATTTTTTTTGAATAGCAGGAAATAAGGCCTAAGTAGATTTTTGACCAAAAGGTTAATTGCCTTTAGTTTAAAATTTGTATGGTATTGTTTGTGAAATATGAATCAGGAGGTTAAATGATTAACCCTTTACACCCTAATATCTGTATGTATATTCTCCATACTGTTCTTTATGCATTTCCTAAGTTGACAGGGGGAATTTGTTCAATAATTAAGATCTTCTTTAGTTGATGATCATTGATCTTATTCTTGTGGCCTAAATGTGTGATTCAGAGGTGATATTGTGAGGATAAATTAGAAGCTAGGCCATCTAAGGAGTCTAAGGGTCAAGACATGTACTATTGAAGTGAAGTGGATTGATGTTTTGTTTTTAGATCGTGTTATGTTTTGTTAGTCTTACATTTGAAAGACATAACTTTCCTTTTGGATCCAAAGGTGGTATTGAAACTGGAAGCATCACAGAAATGTTTGGGGAGTTCCGTACTGGAAAAACACAACTGTGTCACACAATGGCCGTAACATGTCAGGTAATCAATCTTTAACTTATCATCACAAGACAAGGTTGAGATTTCAAATGTTTCTGAAAGTTTCTATAATTGTGTAATACATGTACCTCAAATAGGGACAAATAATATTAATTTGTCCCTATTTGATATTTCATGTTGTGGAATCCCATTTTATCAAACAGTCAGTTTTTTTTTGTTTTACACTTTTCAATGTACATGTATAGGACTGTACTTCCCAAAACTAATTACTAGTTTTGGGAAGTACAGTCCTATGCATGTACATTGAAAAGTGTGTAACAAAAAAAATTAATTGTTTGATATAATGGGATTCCACAACATGATTACACTGTGTACATGCATAGAAGAAAATCAGTAGTTCTTATGTCCAATAACATAATGTTACTTTATCTTACAGCTTCCCATCGACCATGGTGGGGCAGAAGGAAAATGTCTCTACATTGATACAGAGGGCACATTTCGACCTGAAAGACTGGTAGCTGTTGCTGAAAGGTATGGTCAGCAACCCACATTTTAATTTACATTATGTTGTTTACTATGTCTTTTGACTTTAAGGACTAAGAAAAACTTCTGTTCTGATAGTAAAGAACAGAATTTTTAAAGTGTTACCCTGATCGCCTTCATCATCCTTAACAAAATGCTCATTTTCCTTCATTTCTAAAAGTTTTCATTGTTCAAAATTTACCAAACAGTAGTTCTTACCCCACCTTAAGAGAATTATTTGATATAGCTATATCTGTGCATAATTCCAGACAATTAAATTTGCACTGATTAGACTTTTTAATATACATAATTATATATAAATTATATATTTATTTGTCTCCTCTACAGTCTTTGTCCTTTGTGCCCTTAGTCTTTCTTTTGTTTTTCCTCTCACTCTCTTTAGATAAAGCTCACCCCTGCTTTCTTCCCCCCCTCCCCCCTTTTTAGGATCTCATAAGATAAACTAGATTGTTTTTAAAACAATTGTTTGATCCGAATGTGTTCTTGTGAATTAACGTTTGTATCATATTGTTTTTGTGATGTAGATATGGGCTTTCGGGACAAAGTGTGCTTGATAATGTGGCCTATGCGAGAGCCTACAATTCAGACCATCAGTCTCAGCTTCTGATACATGCATCTGCTATGATGTCTGAATCAAGGTACTGCTTGATCAATAAATGTAGTTATGTAGTCCTGAAATACACCATGCATTAAATACAACTATTGAACTCTGCAAGCAATGTAAACTGTAATTTTTTTTCCCCTTGCCACTTAGCCTGACTTCTTGACTCGTGAGTCAGATGGTCAGTAATACCCAAACCCTGAGTGAATTAGTTACCTCTAGACCTGTGTGGCATATGACAGTCACTCTTCTGCACTCTGGCAATTTTCAAAATACATGTACAGTATTCTTAAATTATTTTCTCCATCACCCATCATTGCAGATATGCTCTTATGATTGTTGACAGTGCAACAGCTTTGTATCGTACAGACTACTCTGGTCGTGGAGAACTGTCTGCCCGGCAGATGCACCTGGCAAGATTCCTTAGAACACTACTAAAACTTGCAGATGAGGTACATATGCTACCTAATTTTGTGTTTTACCCTGTATAGACCATGTACATGCAATATCACACTTTTTTCTTCTCTCTTTTTGGACTGTGCCATGCTTGCTGCCTGTTACTGCATCTTTGAGTAGTTTTACCTATGAATGTTCAAGAAGTGATAAACCTTGTTTTTTTTTTTTTTATGTGAATTGATTGTGATACCATTGTCATTCAGTTTGGTATAGCTGTTGTTATCACAAACCAAGTTGTAGCACAGGTGGATGGTGCTTCTATGTTCCAAGCAGATCCCAAAAAGCCAATAGGTGGAAACATCATGGCACATGCATCAACAACAAGGTAATGGCTAATAACAAAATCCTGTTCTTTGACAACTTTTCTCGACTGACTTCACAATTGTAGTTTGTTTACAGACTTACCTTCAGTAGTAAAGTTGCGAGGGTGGAAATCATCAGGGCTGTTGTTAAGTTTTTGTAATAGGGTCTGTTTGCATTGATGATACAGCTCAAACTAACTATAGACTATACAAACTGACATTGATCATCACTTGTGGTGCTACGAAGGTCTCAGCTATATCTTAGGATTTTAGGGTGCAATGTTTCTAAATGACTGCCCTTGACTCATGTTTGTCTTACCAAGGATTTTCAGTGTCACACAATTTTTAAGCAAAGGTGACTTTAAAACACCATGTTGATTCATTCATTCATTTGTATTGGCCCTGAAAAGGCCCTTTGGAGGAGTGGTCAATTAAGTAAACATAGTTTTTTACATACTACATATACATACATGCATGCGAACATTATGTAAGTTTATGAAGGAATGAGGTAACTACATATCTTGACTGTGGACAAAGCTGAATAAGGTTTGACTTTTTCCACACAAGCAAGCTCTGTATGTTGTCTTTCTCAATTTATAGTAACATTAAGTCAGTACATTACATTTCCATAAACAAGATGAAAAAGAAAGCAAATTCAGTTTTACAAATGATGAGCTGTAGCTAAATGCATTTTTAAAACATGTTTTAAAGGAAGCTACCAGTGAAGTCAACAACAGGTACATTGTCATCAAAGGAAAACTTGGATGTCAGCTCACTAGGATTTCCTGCAGGCTTGGAAGTAATAAGTATATATTCTGCTCCTTATCCTCTACAGATTGTACCTCAGGAAGGGAAGAGGGGAGACAAGAATATGTAAGATATATGACTCGCCATGTTTGCCTGAGGCTGAAGCCATGTTTGCTATCAATGCAGATGGTATTGGAGATGCTAAGGACTAAAAACTGGAAAGGCAAAATTTTTTGGATATGGTGTAAACAGGATTAAAAGTCTCAGATGAGCGCATCTCTATTTTAGCATCTAGTACCACTAGATGATTTAAACATGTGATGTTCCATAAGGACTTAGCTAATACCATCATAGGGTGCTGGCAGGCCCTCATTATCATCCCTTCTGGACAAGTGTGACTCATCTTAAATCTTCCTGTGGGCAGAGAAACACAAATTTTAAACACATTTCACAATGAGGGGCTGCTTGCAAACTACTGGGCTGCCATCTTGAAGTCATCATGGAGAAGCCAACTTTGTTTTGCTAAAATAAGATTCATAAACAACAATCATACAATCCTGAATAGTATTTGTTTTATTTCTTTGCTATTTTATTTATTCAACTTTTGAAATTCTTGTCTTAAACATTAATGTGAAAATTAAATATTGTATCCTTGATACTGGCACCAGATGTTCTAATCTGGTGATAACTCTGCTGTAAATAATAAAAATCATACCACTGCTGATTTGACAAAAAAGAAAATCATTGGCTAAAGTCACTCTCAACATCTAGAATTTAGAAATGAGCATCACATGTATTTCAGTTATATACACTTTTTTACTGCAAGTTCTAGAAAACCATGAACACTATAAATATTTCTGTTTGTTAATGCACAGTGACAAACAAGTCCAAAGATGTGAGGGGGACAAGAATAAACAGTACACAGGAGTAGTAATGGCATGTAGATACTAATTTGTCTCTCTGTTGTCTGCTTGTGAGTTACAATCACCAAGTTGACTGTTGCTCCTCATTATATACCAAACATTCCCTTAGCATTTTAGAGGTTCATGGTTTTCTGACTTTTCCAGATAATGGTGCTGGCAAAAACTGCCCCATTTGTAATCTACAATTTCTCACTATTTACAAAATTTTATTGCATTACATTCATGTAGAAAAATTTATATCATTTTCTGGATTTTGTAAAATTTGTGGCCATTGCAGCCAAATTAACTTGTATTGAACATTTTGCTAATTGTTATATATTTGACTCATTCTGTGTTTTTCTAAAAATCGCCAGTTCAATTGCCCCATCATGTAACTAATGCAAATAGTACATTACACTATGTCTTCCTTCCATGTTTTGAATGAATTAATGATGTACATGTAACAGTAAGAGTAGTTTTCAAGTGAAAGTTGAAGCCAAAACCAAAGTAATCACAATTATCAATCAGAACAAAAAGTTAACATCATTAACTAATGACAACTCAAAGTAAAAAACAGGCAACCTGCTTGAAGCACTGGAAAACAAAAGTGACCAAGTTGGGGTTGGGTTTACTTTTGAATCTGTTTGGTTAAGATGGTGGCAAGAGTTTTTGCAAGACCAATCACAGAGTAACTAAAGTATTTTAGGATCACATTAAATACTCCATTGAAAACTGCTCTAATAGCAAAAGACATCTAACATTGTGTAGATTGAAAGGATAATAGCTAAGTGTTTACACACAAAATGGAATCAGTTCTCAGACAATTGTGATGCAAATAAAGCAGCAAGATAGTTGGTTAAACCATCTTTTGACGTTCAGTTTTTGGTTATACATATCTGTGTTTTTCATGTTAGCATAGCAAGGCCCAGTAATTAAAAGGGTGGATAATGCTATTCAACAGATATCAATAAGTATTCAGCTGATAAATGTTGACAAAATATACTGCATTATGCACCATTTCAACAACTGAGACCAGATGACTTGAAGTTAGATCCTTTCCTGCTTGCTGTATGACTTTGCTGGATTTTCATTGTCAAGAAGAGGAGGAAATTCCTTTGGCTTTGAAGGTTTACTCCTCTGAATGACCCTAATGAAAAGAGAGAGGAAAATAGTCAAAATTGGAAAGAAATCACAATGACTGCACATAACTGAACTTGTATTCTCGTTTCAGAATTTTGAAAAGGGTTTTTCCTGATACTGCCGATAATTGTTTACCTGTGTGGTTACAATATTGGATTATGTCTTGTTGCAAACAAAATAGCTACTGGTATTTGGAATTACATGTAGTACTCATCTGTTCCTTTCATAATACTAGGTCATGTTGGTTTATGAATGAAATCATGTACTATTTGTTTTCTCTATTTTCATTTTTTTCCAACATTTTAAATTCTTTGGTACATTTCACAAACATAAAAGGTTTGGATTGGTACACATAGAAGTTCTGTGTTGACAGGATGGCTGTGAGTGGAAATTGGAGGCCATTGTCAGGATTGGTATGCAAAGTTATTAATTGAGTTGGTATGGGAAATTTGACTCATGTCAGGGAAAAGTCAGGGAACTCAATAAGTGGCAACCATATTGATAAAATTATTCTTATCATAATGATTTAAATTATTAAAATTTGAGTTACTTACAAAATAAGAGCCATAGGAATGAGAAGAAGACCAGCATTGATGAAGAAGGTAATTCCTGCCACATATTCTCCTGTGAGTTCAGTTACAGTCCATGTGTAAAGTGGATTAAAAATCAGCTGACTAAAAAAATTACACAGACTCTCCAGAGATGCTAGAACAGCAAAAAGAGAACCTGAACAAAAAACAAACCAAAACAAAAAACAATGAAACTAGTTATGTTTATCTAAAAGTTAGATGACATGAATTTATTATCAAGTCATAATGCCCAAGAAATCCAGCAAATGAGCATGGGGGAACAGGGAGAGGGGTCTAAACTTTGATTCAGAAATAAACATGATTTGTTCTAAACACTAGAGCCTTAATAATTGATGAAGTGTTTCAAGACAAGTAATTTTAAATTCCTCGAGTTTAGGGGTAATATGTGATTCTGTCTTGAAAAAATTTAGGTCTCAGAAAAGTACCAGTAGTGAAAAACCCCACAAGTCTTACTGGGGGGGAGGGGGGGGGGGAAGGGGGAGAAGAGGGTTGTAAACCCACTGGATCCTTTCCCTGGATTTGTCCTCATGGAGCATTCCTCATGTAGACATTGAATGGACAGTGAAACTAATTGAAAGGTTCATCAATGCAACAGGATTCAAGTTCTATTCACAGTGATACATTAACCCCTTAGGGTTTGAGGTTTTTTGTTTTAAAAGAGGAGATTAATGTCTCACTAAGTATTTAGGGCATGTACCTTGCTCCTCTTTGTTGACCAACCTGGACATTTCAGCCCTGATACAAGGCTGTGGGACACCACTAAAGAAACCAACAATGGTGGCTACAAGTTCAAAATAACATCTTTTATCAATAATAAGTAACTAGATGCATATCTGCATTTACTCAGGTGGTCATGACAATAAAACATAGGCACAGTCTTCAAAAGACATTCAGAGAATTAGACTTCAAGTAAAATGTAAAACTACACATTACCAGTAACCCTTTCACCCCTGAGAGTGACTAGCATCTGATTTCTCCCCACATATCACCCCTGAATAAAATATTGAGGTCAAGAGAAGAACAGACATGATCACCAACTAAAGAAGCTTCTGATCTTTAAACAAATTCTTCCTGTCAGCTCCTTAGGAAATACACAAAGAACAGTATGGAGAACATGCATTCAGATGTGGTCAAAAGGTTACAAAGAGTAAATTTAATCATGATATGAAAAACTTTTCTGCAAGTTGCCTAGATATAAGGTGGTAATCAAATTTACAAGGCTTAGAACAAATTTTACCTCACCTAAAAACATTTCCAATGTGGTCCTAGAAAATCCAATCATTATTAAACTCCCCATGAGAAAAATAATTCCAATTTGAACAGCACCAAAGTTTGAAACGCCTAAACATGAACAAAGTTTGATACCAACCACAGCTCCAACAGCTTTCGAAAACAATGCTGTCCCAAGAAAATAACCAATAACAGATGACTCCCAGCAGAGAGGGTCTCTCTTACCAAAGAGAACCAACAATGTTTGTACAACAAATCCAGCTAAGTAAACAACAACTGCACAGATGAGGAGAGTGATGAGGACCCAACGTCCCAATCTCTTCTTAAAGTAAACTGTAAAAATGGTTTTAATACTATTGCAGGATAAGACTGCTTTGTTCTTCTTTAGTTCCTGGGGTAATGATTCAGGGAGAAGGATTACAACATACACAAGATTGAGTAAATGTAAAGACAGTATCACCAGATATATAGACTGGTAGCCATAATTCTTGATCCATACTCCACTGACAAAATACACTACTGTTCCACAAATAAATGCAATAGCTTCTAGAATACCAAGCCTTAGAGCTCTGGAATCTGGTGGGGATGTATCTGCAACATACGCAAGCAGTGCAAGAACCATAGTAGGATAATAACCACCTAGGCCAGCCAATGCACTTGCTGTATGTAAGAAAATTAACAGAATTAACAGAATTAACATTAAGAACAATTATAATAAATAAATAATAAATGGAAACGAAATGCACTCTTCCCAAGCTAATGTCAGATTGGGATGATTACGCACAACTACATACATCTGACTTAGAGGTGGGAGAAATATTACAAGATAATTTGGCCTTATCAACTAAGGTGATTGAACATTCACCTCTGTAAAGAGTTTCTACAGCTGACATTTTAAGAGTTAGCCTTTTGTTTGGGCAATGATCAGCTGAAAATTATTGATGGGTGGGAAGCTTAGTAAGACAAGACAAGACTCATGAAACAAATCAAAATTTATCTGATCTCTTCTGTAAATAATTCAGTCATGGACCCTTTTTTGAATTGGGGATCAAATTTCTAGTTTCATTTCAATCAACATTTCACTATTAATACTTTTCTAAAAGTTAGATATAACAAGTGTTATGTTTGTGGAAAGAGCTTCATTGAATTAAAAAGGGGTAAATGGTTTTTTTACTTTTTACTGCAAGTAAGAAGCATTAGGATTATGGTGCTTACTTGAGTATTGGGCCTATTTGAGGAAATATCATATAAGATAAAATTTCATTGGAATAAAAATTTTTATTTTTCCTAAGAAGGAGAAGGAATTAACCTTTCACCCTGGACCTAACCAGGACACTCATGCAGATACACAAAAGAGATCAGAAATCAGACACACCTATCATAAAGACATAGATTGGAAGTTTCCAATGAATTGCTGCCAGAATAATCAAGGCATCCAAAGCACTTCCAACAGATGCAGTTATCATGGGTCCCTTTCGTCCCCTTTTGTCTGACCATGAACCAAGGAAACAAGCCGTGAATATGGCAGGGAGTGTAAGTGCCATGCTCACCCATAAAATGTATTGTGAGGCTTTTTTGTGCACTTTATCATCCATGCTGTATTTTTTAAAGAAAGTAAAAAGACAACAGCTATTAATAATATTTTGTTAAGAAATAAATTTCATTTCACCTGCCGATGAAAAAAATTAAACAAGTGAAGGAATGATCCTAGCAGGTGGACTGCAATTTTAGCAATCGCAGAAAAAAGCAACAGGATTCAAACCTGTACCATCCCAACACCAGCTAGGTGCAACCACATCTTGGGAGAAGGACAAACTGTAAGGCTTCCTCTTTCTCATAAAAGAAAAGAACCCTGTAATTTTTTTCTCACCAGGTCTTTCACACTGTCTAATTTCAATTGCTTAATAACAGCCACTAAATAAATACACAACTCATGCCTGAGTCTCCAGCTAAGGCATTATGGTGAGTCAGATCAGATGGGGAAATTAATCCATATCTATTGGGAGAGGAGTGTGGCACCATAATTCAAATGATAGGTTGCTATCTTCCTGCACTGGGATTTTATCATACTGGCCACTTAAAAAAAAACATTTTGTTTTCCTCCTTCACTGAAAAAGATGGATTTACACTGTATGTCCTGAGCCTATCAAGATTTCCCAATCATGAAAAAGTAATAATTATTGACGAAATTATACAGAAACTGTCTGTAGTATAATATGTACTTACCTATGTTCAGAACTATTTTCATAACGAGGATTACAGATGGTATCATTTTCATCTTCTCCAGGTACTTTCAGTTCTTCCCTAGCTCTGTGATATAAGTACTGTTGTATAACTGGGATTTCCAAAATGATACCAGTGAGATAAAGGAAAATGACTATTTCCACAGTCAACAACCTGTGAGGATTGTTTCTCCATGAAATTGGCTGGTGGTTACTGGATGTTCCAGTGGTACCATTTGGGGTATCTTCTATTTCATTGGCTGTAACAGGCTCCTAGAACAAAATCAAAACAGATATAAACACAAAATAATTTTTAATGAGCTGATTCTATTCTGTTTTATACTCTGTATCAATCACCAGTAAAACTAGTCTCTTGTATGGCTTTTTCTGTAGGGTCTTACGATGTCCTCTACAGGGGTGGCCTGGGGGTGTGGTGTGAGGAGAGGGGAAGGAAAATGCCATAGTTGAACTTACGATGAATATTGCACTACTATTCCTGCGGTAAGTTACCTCCAATGCATAAACCTTGTATTTCTAATTTTCCTGAAGGTCTTGAATTGCTTAAAAATTTCTCCTAACCAATCGTATCTGCAGCAGCAAGTTATCTATCCCTTTCCAAAGGCCGGTTAACTTTCGATTTCATAATCATTTCACTTTCCCGCAACGATCTTCAAATTTAACCTCAACGCGCACACTGAAAAAAAGACTTCAACTAACATATGTCATATTTTCTGTACGACATTGCAAAGCCTACGATCAGAAGCTATTTGACAGTGCACGACTAGCTAGCTGACGAGTTTACGCACATCTAAGTGTCACGCGTTACAAGTTCGCACTGCATCAAGGGCAATGTGATAAGGAAAAAAGACTTGTCCGACCCATTACGTGTAAATGAAAGTGAAAAAAAGCTTCAAAGTAATTAGATGTTGAAATACTCACCTCACTCGACATTATGAAATAGGCGAAACAGTTGACAGAGTTAAGACATTCTGCTACAAGATTGGAACACCAATGCGACTCTTTAGGACTTCTTACATGAAATTTTTTTTTTATAGCAAGTGGTTCCCAGTCACGTGCCGGGCTCTGTGACTAGAAAAACATCGAACATGGAGGAAGGATTCGACATAAACTTGTGTAAAATTAGGACACACTTTAATCTTCATCACAGCAAGGACCATACCATTGAATAAAATTTCAGCCAAGTATGAGTGAACAACTGCCGTTGAGCCATCCTTTCGATCGGGAGGAGGAAACTTCTCTTCAACAACTATTTACTGCGTTCTGCAATCACCTAACCCTGGGTCAATGGGAACTTGCTCGAGTGTGCTTGCGAGGCTTGTTCGAACAGCGCGACAAACTCGAGAAACCTTTGAAAGAGATAATGAGGGCAATCATTGATCAGCCACATCATGCAAGGTAACAAAATTCGTACAATCGAAGCGACTGGAGCCCGGGAAGCGCCCATTAATATCGTATTTCTTGTATTCACGTACTTTCAAATTCAGTTCTGTCAGTAGATCTGTGTTCTGTGACGGCAGTTTTAAATGCCTACACGTTTTTGATACATTTTTATTTTCGATTTTATGAAATATTCACCAAACGCCATTTATCCGCGGATATTCAAAAAAGTTAATATTTTGTGAAAATTGTTTTTCTATTGATGATATTCCACAGTTCATAACAGTTCTGACAGTTTCTTAACCTTTTAACCCCCTAACAGTGATCAGAATCTGATTTCTCCTTACAGTATTAGCTCTGAATCACGCATTAAGGTCAGGAGATTAAAGGAAATTATCACCTGCTAGAGAAGCTCTTGATTGTTCAACAAATTCCCCTTTTCAACTCCTTAGGAAATGTATCAGAAAACAGTAAGGAGAATATGCATACTGATGTTTAGGTGCATAGGGTTACTTTGGTTATTAGCAAGCCAGTGATAGATATTGATAACCATATAAGATCTGGAAGTTAATCTTTCCCTCCTATATTAAGGAATTATTTAAAATGGTTGGCAAAACTGCCAGATTTTGAATTTTACATACCATATTTCCTTGAATAAGTGTCCATGCTGTACTAAGCACCCTCCTTGAATAAGTGTTTACCCCCCTAAGCTATGATATCAAACAAGCACTCCCCTTGAATAAGTGCCTAGCCCTCTATTTATAACCTTTTAAGTTTCAACTACAGCAGAATCTGAGTATAAGTTAACTCCCAAGAACTGATTGTTAATTCTCCCTTTTTGCAGCTACATATTTCCTTGTAAATTAGTTATGAGAATTTGGTGCTAGATCAAGATAGCAGCTTCTACCTGATAGGGTTGAATATTCTCATTACCTGTTTGCGGAATAATGTATGGATATTATATGGAGAAGTTTCATGTTAATCAGTTCCAGGAATTAAAGGGTTAATAGTTTCCTAATAAGTGTCTTCTCACCTAAGCACCCTTGTTCCAGCAGGCACCCCTCTTTTAGCAAAATCTTAAATAAAACTCCAGGTGCTTTATAATTCAAGGAGATACAGTATTCTATGATTACTCATAATGCACTGTTACTGTCTTAACAGTTATGGATCGTGTTCTGTTCCATCTCCATTCCATTTATCATGGTTATGTTTATTGGAATATCTGGATCTTTTCACTGATGAAGAGGCAAGTATTTTTCTCTAACATTTTTATAAATTTAATTTGTTTAATCCCTAGCTCATTACCTTGCAGGGTTTTCCTGGCTTCTGTGCTTCAGTCATTAGGTACTCTGTAATGATTAAGCTGTAAAGATCGTAAACACTGTGGATCAACTGTGGACAAACTTAATTCTTACCAAATGCTGTCTACATTGTGCTAATACAGCAAAATCTACCTACTTCAAAATTAAGACAAAACCATTTTGTGTTAAAGAGTTTTCACATGAACCACAAAAAGTGTAACAAATATGGCCAGAGGTGTCTTTTTTATTAGTTAACCAAAGAAACTGAAAGAGAAGGAAAAGTCCTCTTTGTTTAGAGGCAGGATAACAGAGATACAGCTGAAACATGTTTGCCTGAGACTTTAGACACAAAGTTAAATAAAATTTATGAATTAAATAACACTATTAATATTATTAACAGTAGTTATAGAGTCTTGTGCTTATAAATGATCTTAATCATCATGATTTACTAGTACATTTAATACTGACTCTTGAACTATTGTTTGTGTTTGATATGCAACACAGGACCAGATTCCAGAGCCTATTGTAAAGAAAGTGGAATTTCGCCTTCTTCTCTACCTTGCTTGCCAGAATGCCCCTCAAGTTGTGATTCAAGTAATTAAACTTTCACAATTGTCCAGTTTTCATGCCCTTATTACCACTCAAAGTGAAAACAATTACTATTAATCCCTGTAGCTCTCTTGATATTGATCTAGCACCAAGTTCTTATAACTAATTTACAAGGGAATGTGTAGCAGCTAGAGGGGAGAATTGACAATCAGATCTTGGGAGTTAAAGGGTTAATAAGAGCCTACTTGTGGGAAAGTTTACTTGCATTCCAAAAGAATCATAATGATTCCTCAGTGTTCTTCCTTTTTTTAAGCACAACAGGTGGAAGAAAATTTATAAAAGGTATTTGTGCAATTCCAAGCTACTCTAGACAGCAGCTAGAGGTACTACAGGTGGCAATTTTTACCAGTTACTGCTAATAAAATAGAACACTGTTACATGTAATTCACTGTGACAAAAAAGACTTGTTTCCATTAATTTGCAGGATATAGATGATTACCACAGTCAAATTGTTTACAGAGATCCTGACCTCTTTGCCTCTGGAGTGTCTGACCTTCCTTCTTCCACTTTGTCATACTTGAAACAGCTGCTATCTGAAAGTCCTCAGTTTGGACATGCTGTGATTAATGATCTCACTTCCAAAGGGAAGGGCTTTTTGAAAAATAACCAGCTCTTACAACAGTTATATTTAGACCTCATCAACGAGCAATTGATGGCCTTAGACTCTGGAGCTGTAGAAGTTGATGGTACCAGTACCACCTCTGTACCTAAAGATGACATGCCTGTAAAGTGTGCCACCAAAGAATGTAAATTCATCTATCAAATGCTTTCCTACATGGACCCAAGTCCTGAAATGCTCAGCCTTTCTAAGTGTCTGGACGATCTTTTCAGGAACCTCATAATTCGAAGTTCAAACGAGAGAGACACTATTTTAGACAGAGGCATTTTATATTCCTGCTTCCTCAGCCAGACATCAACTTATTTGATGGAAAAGTTTTGTTTCATTGAAAATCAGATGCGGTTTGCAGTGAATGATCGTTCAGAGTTACCATTGTCAAGAGCAACATTGCAAAGATTCAAGCAACCATCAGCATTAGATGGTCTCACTGTTAATGTTTGTTATGCTCAATCCTTTATGGAGGATAGGAGAGAAGCCTGGAAATTTCTGTTCTTCCATGCTCTAAATGGAAATCATATTTTAGAGAACATGGTGGTAAGTAGATATCCATTGTACATAAATGCACTGGTTTTTTGTACCAGTGCCATGGAATCATTCAAGAGATTAAAGAGGCATTACACCCATTTGGTTAACTGTGGAAAATGAGAATTCCAGGTTTAAGCCACTGCAGGTTATTGTTTCGTGTTTCCAAGCAAGGAACTTCACTGTCACAGTGCCTCTCTCCAACCCGGGGTATTGGCAAACTGTTGAGGAGAGAGGACATCAGGCTGAGGTTAACCTTAATTCTCCCCTTTAGTCATGAGAATTCGGTGTTAAATCAGGATAACAACTCCAGCTGATGAGTTCAAGTATTCTCATAACCTGATTGTTGGATATTATATGGATATTATAGGGAGAAGTTACATGTTTATCACTTGTGGGAGTTAAAAGGTTAAGTTAGTGGTGAGCATACTGGCTTGTAAATAAAATGATACATGATGTGGCTTATGACACTGCTTTTAAGATGCAGTGGTCAATGTGCTGGACTCTGGGTTGAGAGGTCTGGGTTCAAGACCTAGGCAGGTCATGTGTTGTGTTCTTGGGTAAAACAATTTACTCATATAGTACCCCTCTCCACCCAGGAGCATAAATAGGTGCTGTTGAATTGTCAGGGAAGCCTGATGAAATGCTGGGGGAGGAGGGAGGGGGGGGGGGGGTGTTAACTTTGCAATGGCTCACATCCCATCCAGGGGAGAGTAGTAATACTCTTAGTTGCTTTATGCTTCTCAGAAACCAAGATAAGCTCCATCTGGGTGAGCCAATAGTGCAGACTTTATCTTTGACACTGCAGTATCTTCTCATTGTGGAAATGAAAATTTAGTGTCAATACAAATGTCACCATGTTTACAATGTGCTTTAGGAAACAGCTCTTGTCTTCATAAGAGAAAGTGACTTTGCTAGGCTGACACAGCTTCTGTCTCCAGTGGAGTTTTCCAGACTCAAGCCACTTGTTCTCCTCTTGGGCTGGCCTTACTGCTACAGTTGTGAAAATGCTAAGAATCTACTGGAAGCTCTCTGGGACCCAGCGGTAAAGTTTACTTGTTTTTGTTTTAATTTTTTTTTCCTTTTTCAACTTCCTTTTAGCCATAATTAAGGGCTTACATACTGTTGAAATTGAAAAATGCAAAGTTATGTTTGAATACCATTATAAATATGTTGCCTTTATGGTTTGTGCATACAATTGAGGAAACAGAAAATCCAAGTGTAAGGGTGAGGGGAGGAGGGTGTAGGCTCGTTGTGTTTTGTTCTTGGATGATACCTTGTTTTTACTATGATCCTCTTTGTTAGGGACGATTTCTTTGTATCAGCAAGTCATTAGAGGGAGGGTGCCTGCAATGTGGCAATGGGGTAATTAACCAGGATAGATTACTTTGTGTCAGGTATTCAGTGAGAAAACAGAGTATGATAGTAGCACAAAGGGAAATAAGGAGCTACCACTGTGCCCAGTTATCAATTGAAGGCCTGGAACAGGCCAATAATAGAGTAGCGAACATCCCCTTTAGGGGAAGTACAATGTAGGAAAACCAGTGGTCTCCTTACACTATG